TATGTGTGTGCTTGAAGAGTCCGTATGGACGCTACTCTGAGTACCAGGTTCTGTTTTATTAGTAGGGTGAGGCTAAACAAAGATCTCCCCTACCCCCAGGCAATATTTTTAACTATGTAACTTTTTTTTCACATACTTGTGTGTGTGCATGCGTAAACACATACACACACACACACACACACACAGAGGAAATCTGCAGATTCTGCTCTTCAGAGTTATCCAGGGACCTAAAGTAGTGAGGCAACTCTGCTTTCCTTGGTATGGAGCTCTGTCAGTACAGTCACTTCCAAAGGGACTCCAGTGACGGCCATTTGCAACCAGCAAAATGGAAAGAACGGAGACGCCAGGGCAAGGGATTTCCTTTGCGATGGGTAACACAGAACATTCCTATCTCACTTCTGCTCACCATCCACCAGTGAGACTTAAGTCTCAAGATTTTTTGTAGGTCTTCATGCATCTTCGTTTTAATTGCCGTGTTATCTTTATCACTGCAGGGGAGATAAATGTCCCCTAAAAGGCTTGGCACTTCTTGTCAAACATCAAAGGGTGTTATCAGTCAATGGCCAGCAGCTTTTGTGAAATTTTAGAGAGTAACTTCAATATTACGTGTTTTCATCACTTGCTAATAAAATTATACCATTTTATTCTCATACTCCTCATTCTCAGTTTTTAAAGTCTCATGAATTCTGAGAGTTTATCACCATAGCTAACTTTTCAAGATACCATATACGGTTTTGAAAAGATTCATGATTAATGAGAATAAGCCTCCTGTAATTTTGAAATGAGAATAATCCTGAAATCTCCCAGGAGATCTGATAACTGATTTAACTCATCCAGTGCTGAGAAAAAGCCTGAAGTAGCAAGCATGTCCTACAATGTCATATCGGTGTGGCTTCTGCGACACTACTGTTACCCTCAATTCTTTTTTTTTTTTTTCTTTTTAAACAGGGATCCAGGTAAGCCATTATCTTGTGAAGGGCAGCTTTTCCAAAGCTAAACATGGCCCACAAACCCGTTTAACCAGTACTGGTTAATATTTTGCAAACCAGAGAGTGACGGCCCCACTGTCCACATTTCTTCCTTGCACTCCACGCCTCCCTTCTCCTCCCCATTCCTCCCAGACCCATTTCTAACCAATATACCCAAAATAGGACTGGGTGTGCCAGTGCCAGCCTACAGGTTATTATCAATAAAGCAGACTTCACAGCACTTATTTTAAACTAAAAAAAAGAAAAATCACATTTTCTTCTTGGCATCCTAACACATCATCATCTAGTGCTCCGCTGGGGTACATATCATCCGTCACCCTCCACCCCATTTCAGAGACCCCTGACCTCATCTGTATTACAGAGCTTAGATGTTATTTTGGCAACAGCTGACAAACTCCAAACGGAGAGATAAATCCTAATCATTTATAAGCATTTGGAGTTCTACCCTGGACATATTTACTGGTCAAGTGAAAGTGATGGATGCCAGATCTGGGTGTTTGAGGGAAGCCCTTTCCTCCCTCCCTTCCCACTGATGTGCAAGGCGCAGGAAGGCAACCCAGGCCCAGTGCTTTTCATTCTTGGGCCAGTTCCTTCGTTCCTCTCTGGTCTGCTTCATCCTCAGAGCCCCGCAACCTAAAAAGCCAACTTGGGAGCTCCCCGCGATCTGCTACATACCTAATTTATGTCCCTAGGACTCTTATTCCACCTACCAATGAAATACTTTGAGAATAGGAATGCCTTCAAACCAACTAAAGAATGAGAGAGAAGGGAACAAAGTGGAAGAGAAGGACTCTAGTCAAAACTAGGGAATGCCCCCTTCGCTTGGGGTACAGAACAAAGAAAGTACATAGAAACTGTACCTCTCTTCAGCAAATATTGAGTCATTACATGAAAACAGGAAGTTCAACACTGTTTAGCAAGAATTCTTAATAGGTTGCCAAGGGCAGCCAGTCACATCCCATAAAACCTGTTTGGCTTCACAAATTGGCTCCTTGATCTAGGGCAAATGTGGGGGCACCTGGGTGGCTCGGTTAGTTGAGCATCCGACTTTGGCTCCGGTTGTGATCTCACAGTTCATGAGTTTGAGGCCCCATCAGGCTCTCCACTGTCAGTGTGGAGCCTGCTTTGGATCCTCTGTCCCCCTCCTCTCTGCACTTCCCCTACTCACGTGCTTTCTCTCTCTCTCAAAAAAGAAATAAATATTAAAAAAAAAAAAAAAGTCCCAGGGGCGCCTGGGTGGCTCAGTCGGTTAAGCATCCAACTTCAGCTCAGGTCATGATCTCACAGCTCGTGGGCTCAAGCCCCACATCGGGCTCTGTGCTGACAGCTCAGAGCCTGGAGCCTCCTTTGGATTCTGTGTCTCCCTCTCTCTCTCCTCCCTCTCTCTCTGCTCTTTTCCCACTGGTGATCTCTCTCTCTCTCAAAAATAAAAACAGAAGAAGAAAAAAAATTTACAAAAAAAGTCCCAATTTGTACTTAGGGCCTTACAGTGCTCTGTACAGTCAAAGTTCAGCTCTTGGCTTCCAGAGAGCACCTGGCATATAAGGAAAACATAGGCTCACTTCTGAGTTACCATCACATAATGGGTTTAAGACTGTGGATGCCTTGGAACTAGCAGCTCATCAGCAAATAAGGGAGCTCCCAGCACAGACATCTGGGTGTTCGCACAGGCTATTTGGGCTCCTCCATGGGTTCTGGACACTTCTCCACACCAGCTCTCCACTCTCCCCTCTACCACCATGCTGTTCTCCTCAGTTTTGATTCCGTCCTAAAGACACCTTGTATGCGGCCCATCATGTCTACTCTAGCCACTACCTCATGAGAAGGACCTTTTAAATGGAAGTTCTAGCTGGGAACTGGAAAATGATCTGAAGTCTGCCCAATCGTTCAAACATTTATAGAGTACGTACGTAATTCTGAAAAGCATTGCTGTGATGTGACCATTTTTCTTAAAAAGTCAGATTTTTAGTTCCATGAACCTTATATTTTTACATTTTAGAAGGAGAGAGACCAAATATAGTGTTTCACAAATACAAAAAAAACAAACAACCCAATTTTTTAAATGGACAAAGGACTGGATAGACATTTCTCCAGAGAAGATCTACAAATGGCCAATAAGCACATGATGAGATGTTTAACACCACTAGCCGTTACAGAAATCAAATCAAAATCACACTGAAATACCACTTCATACCCATCAATATGGCTACTACCAAAAAATAAATAAATAAATAAAACCCACACAAAATAACAAATGTTGGTGAAGGTATGGAGACACTGGAACCCTCATTCACTGCTGGTGGGGATGTAAAATGGAGCAGCTGCTGTAGAAACAGCAAGGTAGTTCCTCAAAAAGTCAAACATAGAGCTATCACGTGATCCAGCAATTCCACCTCTGAGCATATGCTCAAATAACTGAAGGGTCTTTAAGAGATAATTGCACACGCATGTTCACGGAAGCAGGATTCACAATAGCAAAAGGTGGAAACCACCCAAGTTTCCACTGACAAATAAATGGATAAACCATACGTGATCTATACATATAATAGAATATTATCCAGTCACAAAGGATGGAAAATCTGACATGGGCTATAAAAAATAGATGAATTGAGGGCCTTATGCTAAGTGAAGTAAACCAGTCACAAAAAGACAAATACGGTATGATTACACTTATAGGACATACCCTAGTAGTCAAATTCATAGAGACAGAAAGCAGAATGGTGATCGCCAGGGGCTCACTGGGGAGGAAGTGAGGAGCAGCTGTTTTAGGGGGACGGAATTTTAATTTTGTAAGATGCAAAGAGTTCTGGAGACAGACGGTGGTGATGACTGTACAACATATCGAATGCCATCAAACTGTATTCTTAATGCCTACGATGGCAAATTCTACGTGTGTTTCATCACAGTTTATATTATTTTATGTATTAATAATAATATATATTTCTAGTGATGAAGTTCAATAGAAAAGAATATAGGCAAGCGGGATGGGGGTGCTCGAGAGAAGCCAACACTTGGGTACAAGGGAGGTTCTCCACTCCCCCAGAGCTGGAGACTTAGGGTCCAGGAAAGGAGGGATGACCGGGGAGTTTGGGCTTCGTGCAGGCAGTGACACGAACGAGGGTAAGAGGCACATGGAGACCGACCCTGAGGCTCCCAGCCACCGACCAGCACCCTGCAGGCACACACACTCGCCACCTGACTCCCACCTTTGGGCTCCTGAAGAGACGGAGTGTGTGTTGGCCTTCGCGGCAGGATTCATGGCCTCCCCAGTGTGCAACTATAAACATCTCTATACCATAGCTCCTCCTTTTCACTAACCCTGTCATCTGCTCCTAAAACAGGCTTTAAATATACTGCCTGAAGGGCGGCCCTGGGTTCCAGGCAGTAACAAGTCCTTGTTCTAAGTCCCGACAAATGGAGCTCCATTGTTCAGCTGAGATCTTCGTATCAAACTGCTTCTCAGGTCTCTAGTTAACCTCCAGTCAGTTCCCACCCTGGTCTTATCAGAGGCTTTAGGTCGTGCCCAAGTGGGTACAGGTCTCTAACATGATCAGAGAACTATGCCGCTCAATTCTGCATGAGCTAAGACATTGGAACGTGGGGGGAATCAAGTGCATGTGTTGCCTATTCCTACATAAATTCAAACCACTCTGGACCCTCGAATATTATCCTTATGTTACCGTCTGTGCTAGAAAGAAAATCCTGCAAGTCTCGTCACTGACTCTGGAGTGAACCATCCCCACCAACGTCAATCACAGTAGGTCCCATCAACATTTTAAATGCACAATTCTAGGTGAACAAAGGAGAGCGCCTTTAAGCAGTGTTCCTAATTTGCTCTTTTGGTGTTTAAAGAATTTATGACATCTGTTCATAAATAACAAAATACAGAATAGCTTTAGAATTTTTAGTAAAAAAACAAACAAAAAACACCCTTATCAGTTATGGTAGAAATAAATATATGAAGAGTTTGGTACAGTAATAAACACATGTAACATGTGAAAAACGACTTACGTCCAGAGAATCCTCCTTCAGTAAGATGAGCGCCATATTCTGGGACACCAATCGGCAGGAATAGCCTAAAGGAAGAGGAAGAAGCAACATTAGAGAGTTTATCGTTCCTTCCACGAACTCCTCACTTTTCAATAGCTGTGAAAATTCACCCTCCCTTCTTGGGTCTTATCACCACTTTAAGCCTGTTGAGGAAGGCAGAACAATCGGACAAGTATGAGGAACAGGAAAAGGGAGTTCTTTAGGCAGATTCCCATTCTTGCACACCACTTCAACAGAACTGGTTGGGTGAGTTTCCATAATTAACGGCTAAAAGACCTATGTGTCAATTTTCCGCGGATTCTTCCTCATCTTTGGAGAACACCAGGATAAGCCTGGGATTATCTTTAAAAAACAGCACGTTACGAAGACACATGGAAGCTAACAGTGCTTACAAATCAGCATCCCTCATTTGTTTGTTTGAAAAAGTAGGTAATTCTCATGTCAGGTTTCAAAGGAATACTATCACACAACCGGGGAATCCCTCTTTCTACCCCAAGTTCAAAGCAGCACGCATTTCAAGAATTAAACCGGACTTTAAAAAAGAAGATTCCTTTGGAACAAAAAAGTACACGTTCCAATACTGATCCCTGTCAGTAATTTCTGTCCTATTTTTAAATAGTGATCTCTACAGGTTAAGCAAGATACTCTTCGACTTTACCTCCCAGGAGGTGAACATATTTTCATATTTTCTCTGAACCACTTTCCTACTCAGGCTCTGCAGTCCACTTCCAAACATCTGGAGACACTCGGTGACTCCACAGAACAGGAGAGCCCGGCCCCTGAAACCCAGGCACTGCGGGAAGGAGGCACCCCCAGCATATCCTAAGACCCGGATGTCTGTCAGGAGTCTACTCTCTCTTTCAAGCCACCCTCTACCCTCTCCAGTGCCCCTGGAGAGAGCTGGTGCTTTTTCTCACCCTTCATCTCAATCCATCTCTTTGAGAAAAGGCAAGAAAAGAATCCTCCCCCTCGAAAATTGGCCCTCACTGTGTTTGTTTTTTTTTTTCCCTTCAGCACCTGAAGATAATGGCTTAATGATTACAGAGACAGGAAACAAATCCAAATCATCACCACCAAGAATTACAATCTTCGAGCAAGTACCTGGGTGACGATCTCAAGAAAAGGGCTTAACCAGAGCTACTCCTCAATCTAGGAGGAGCCTAGATTCTTCTCCACAGAACAGCTAAAATATCCATTCCTACAGATGATATATTTAACTGAAAAAGGAGACAAGATTTAACTAATGGGCCAGTCCCAGAACTATTGCATTTATGTGACAATTCTACTCAGCAGGGCTTTTTTTCAGGTTGAAGAAACCCTATTAAAAGGCACCAGACTCTAAGACACACAAAAATTAAGACCAGGAAGAACCTTTTGTTTTTTGTTTTGAGGCAAAAGACAGTAAGTATTTGTTTCTTTTGGAATGTACAAAGTAGATCCTTCACTAACGATTGTCATTTCAGAAGAATATTTTACACATCACCTTAGAACATGAGTCTTAAAGCACAAACTTAGGGCTTTTAATCCAAATATTTTTTAAAAGCCATACCATAAAGATCTAGTCCAGACCATTAACAACGGTTACCTCAAGGGAATGAAATTATTTCACTTGTTAAAACCACTACACATCATTTTAAAAACTAAAACTGAAGAATTGAAAATCATAATACCACATGGCCAAGTACCTGTTTAACCTAGAAGACCAGAAAAGAAAAGGCGGGGGAGGCCCTGAAACAATTTTCTACACACGCTCAAACTTGTTCAAGTCTGTATTTTAACAATAGTGATGAGTTAAAAATCAGACTTTCCCAGAATGCTTTTCAAAGTCCTGCCTGATAGGACTGATAATCAGTGAAGTCTTTGTTTACCATTAAAATTTTACAAATGCATTCTTCCTTCCTGTTAATTCTTAGATTAGGCCCAGAAGGGAGGTCTACGCTTTACTTTCATTTACAAAAGGCAATGGTGCACCTTAAATTATTTCCCGCTATGGTAGGCTTACTCTTTCTTTATATCCCCAGAGTCCTCCAGTAACTTCAGGCAACAGGGACTGTTACAAATTTAGTATAACTAATGCGAAAGGATTTGCTGGTAGGTTCTGATTTGAACAACAGCTGCTGCGGCGAGCTGTAGTTTTTAAGCCCTAGCTTGCTGCTTTATTTTATATTTTTCAGTTTACGCAAAATGCTGTTTGACAACGGAAGCTGCACAAAGAGATTGTGGAAAAACTCTTAAATAGTTTTCTAGCCATTGCAGGGAAGAGGGCAATAAATAAAGGCCCCGACACTTCTGTGGATTTAAATATACAAAACTAAATGTTTCTGGAACTTTTTTAATTCAGAAAATGAAGTGAGATTCCACTTAGAGAATTATCACACAAAACACCTGCACTAGACAGAACATGGAAATTTAACGCAGTTAATTGTGACTTAGCTAATGTGGCAAATTAAATTATGTCAACCCCAGTTTGGTGTGCTTGATTTCTAATGTTTGTGGATAAAATGAGATCAACTCTTGGAGAAGAGCCAGGTATGAAATGTCAATCCACACTTGTAAATTGAGGTCTAGCTCTTTAATCTTGCAATCTAACAAAACGACCATAAAATCACTCAGAGGAGAACCTCGGGGATTTCACTTTTCACTGCGGCTAAAATTAACAGCACACTGCACAAGTGTTTAGTCTTTCTACTACCTGAGTGTAATCAACATCCAAAGAAATCAAAATGTTTCAGACCCTATGGTACTTGGAGCAGGGCTTCATTTTAAGAAAATAAGCATCCACACTAGAAAGTATCACCAAACCAAATCTCTCAGATTCTGTAATTGGTCTCTCTTTTTTGAGATTACCTCACATCGTCAAAGATACCTAAGTCCAGATTTCTCTGGAGACATTTCTAGAAGGGTCAGGAACACTTTATCCTTACAAACCATGAATCTGAGGCTCCAATTCATCAAGCTACTCATAACTGGGATTCTGCAGGGTTCCAAACCCTCAGGAAGCGTGTTGTTGGAACTAAATATTTTCAGAGAGAATCTGATCAATATTTGAGAATAAACGTATGAAACACACGATCAAAGAGGATATTCTTGATCTATTCCAGATGGGGTCCAAGAAGCTCCGTACAGAGTCCTTTGTCATCCAGAGAACCAGGGAGCGAAGGACTCACCCCCAGAACCACGCACCTGGGCACCCTTCCCTCCAGATCCTTCTCAGGAAAACTCCACTACGTGGAGGAGCACAGGACCTCAGCCTTGCCTCACAAACGCCTCCTGCCACCAAACTGGGCCATCCTGACCCATTTTAGGCTCAGACTTTTTTTTTTTTTTTTTTTTTTTTTTTTTAACTCTTGAAGGCTCCAGTTTGAACACTAGCTCATCCACAAAGCCTTCCCTTGTCTTTTTCGGCTCAGGTATTTTTTCCTTCCAGGAAGTAAATATCAAGTATCACAGGTACACGCTCAGATTTTCAGCATCTTCCATGTCTGGGACCTGGGCTCCATTACTTGGTACTTCTGTGCCTCAGTTGTCTCTTTAAAAGGGAGGCAATGGCCATCTCGAGGAATCAACGGACATAAAAAGGTCAGCACAGTCTTCGCAGAGTATAGGCAACATTCACTCAAGTTCACTATTTTTAACACCTGTCATGCCTCACGTCTAGGCCGGGCAATTAGTACTTTCTCATCATCTAGTTCACTCTCTGTTTTATCTCAGAATTAAGTCGCGCCCCAAATCGGGAAAGCAAGTCCCTGAGCCTGTGGCAGGACATCTGGCAACAACACCAGCTGCGGGTAATCAAGAATGTATCCGACTTTTCTGTGAAAAACCACCACTCAGACGGAGACCACCACCAGACACGCCCAGCTTCACTGAAAACAAAAACCTGTCTCCCTTTCAACGGGGCCTAATAGGATAAGCAGGCACCCGATTTCCTTGCTTTTAAAAATTAAACTTCTAAGACTCTAAGAAATGGCTTAAAGGCATTAAATGATGAGTAAAATAAAATGGCGGGAGGAGGGCACGGGGTCACAGCTTAGCACTGGTTTACAACGAACGCTCTTTCCCACTTAACGGATTTGGAATGGAACACACACTAGGGTTTTGTTCTCATTCATCCTGCCTCCACTAGAATAAGAAAATTACAGATTCTGAGGACTTCACATCTATTTAATAGACCTTCTAGCCAGGGGTCATAAGGAAATGACACAACTCACAAAGGCTACATCTGAAATTTCACTTTAGACTACAGATGCCAAATTTTTAGGCAAAAAAAGAAAATTGCCAACTCCTTGGAACGCAGCTAGTTAGCATAAATTCAAGCCCGGAGCAGCAGGAGTCTGGCATTGTGCCAGTTCCCAGCCACCCAACCCCACAGGCAGGAGGACTATCCATATAGTACTCACTGGCTCCGAAGACACACAAGTATCCTAGAACTTAATTTGACTAAATATGTCCAAGGGATGGCCTAAAAGTTACATTTCAGAAATATTTCTGAAAGCACGACAGATAAACGCTGCAGAGAGCTAACAACCCAAAACACCTACCGTCATTTCTCAAGGTGAATGCTTACTCTACGTACCACCGAGGAAATGTTACCAAGCTGTCAAGAGGCAACAATCCTAAGACATCCCAATTTCAGGACGCGGCTGTGTGACGCCAACAATGTGCCTCTCGGAACAGAGGATACGTGGTACCCTTCTCCCTCAGCCTTCAGATTGCAGACAACAGATTTATGAGAGCTATGTGAATCTGCGTAAAATGAGCCCCGCACCAGAACCGAGGGGCCCTGAGACCTCATGCTAGCTTGGTCATTAAATACAATGTAACTTTCATAAACACTGAACTTCCCCTTTGAGCCAGAAGACCGTTCGATGTAAAGACCGGAAATGGGACCAGAAGGCACTCCTAGCAGAGCGCTGGCCCTCGGCACACATTCCATTCGTTTGCTCTCTTGTCCTTCCTTCACGAAGAAGCAGAACTCCAGACAGTTCATCTTCTTCCCAAATATCCCTGGAGTATCTGAAAATGCACACTGGGTGCAGTAAAATGCAGAGGATTTCCAGCAAGTATTACGGACGACAGATCAATAGTGGCTCAGATTCCTGGGGCCAGGAGGAACGTGCGACGAGTCAACAGGCACACAATCCATACTGTGTCTGGAGCACGACCTCGTGCTGCTTATAGCTGTCACCTGTGGTCTGGCGTGGGCAAGTCTAAGACAGCGTCTGGACGTCTACACTTCACTGAGCCTTCTGCACCACTTTCAGGCTCAACAGATAGCCTAAATCAGAAAGTGACATTCAACCCACCACCACCACCCGACATGACCCAGGATTACCAGTGAGTTCTGAATGCAAAGTGAAGAAGTAACTCAGCCAGAGCTCTTTCAAAGAACATCAGTCCCCTGGCCGTTGGATGCATAATTAGTAACACCAAAGATCAGACTGATTTCTGAGACAGTAGAAAAAATGGGAGTAGAAAAACCCTCCAGAATACAAGACTTTGGCGAAGTCCTCAGCTTATATACAAAGAGGAGGCATCATCATCATGTGGTCTTGTGGAGGATTTGCTCAGTCAAGGTCAATTTTAAATATCTAATGGCTATGAATGCTTCTGGTAGCCAAACTACAAATGCTGCTGTACTTTCACAAAAAAGCACAAAATACTATCACCACTATTTTGACAAACTCTTCAGATAGGTTTTCAATGATCTCATAAGACTCAGAGAAACTTCACCACATTCAAATCAAACTTTTCTTTATGAATGATAATCCCTTTGTGTTCGTTCTGAGTTGAAGTTGAAGCCTTTGATTTCATTTGTGCTTGTTCTCAACTCCTCCAGACCCTAAGAGAACGAAAGGATTAAGCAGGAAAAGGGGCATGTGTGCTGCCTAAGGACAGGGTGCTTTGGTGGAGAGGCCATGAGAGAGACAGTGGCCTTTTTCCAGCCAGCACACTCACACTCTCTTCTTGTAGCAAACACAAGACAGCCCTTAAGGAAGCCGTCTGGGGCTCGGGGTATAAAGCGGTCATCAGTCTAGCAGGGACACTCAAACTCTATTTTCCAGATCTTCTCCCTGCAGTACAGTTTTACCTCAGTGGTTACGCACTTCTTTGACATTGCTCTAAGACAGCAGAAAGCACACCCCTAAATGTTCAGTATTTGGGGGCAGCAATCCACTTGATATGCCCTATATGAACACAAGGAGCCACATATCAGTAGCAGGTATTTTAACCCAAACTTTATGGGAAATTACACCTGAAGAGACAACATATATATGTATATGGGGGGGGGAGGGACATTATACCAAAAGCACACGTTTACCTTTATTTTACAAAATGTTGATCTCACCAAAGGGCTACAAGCTAGGGACTTTTATTTTATAGCAGTAGTGAGGGATCTGCATAGAAATAGCATCCTCTTTTGTCCAGAAAGATGCACGTGAAGGACAACACAAATCGGTAGGCAATGTCTATACCTGAAGCTTCAGAGATGGTATGTGAATCACCTGTCACTCGCCTGAGACTTGAATTTCAGTTGTGTGGGGGCCCAACTTGCATGTGACTAGCCACAACCTTGATAAATGATTAAAGGAACCTTGACTATTAGAAAAACAAAGTCACTTCAGGGGTAAGTACTGACTACAGCTGTGCTTCTCTGAGAGCACGGATTCAAAAGAAAAGGGCCACTGCTGGATTCAGTTGATAATATTCCAAGGAGACCACGCCAAACGGGACAAGAGTAACTTAAATGTGGATGTCCCAGGATGTTTCTTCCAGAAGACAGCTGTGACACAGAGCCTATTTCCACAGAGATGCTGTGAGTCACATGGTCCTCACACTCATCGGATCACGTACACAGATCCACCACGTAACTTATGCCATCAAAATGAGATCTTCTAAACTGAGTCATTTCAACTCCTTTCAAACTCAAAGAGTGCCTCTTTAACATTAAAGAAGTTATTTGGACTTAAAACTCCCTTTCTTCTTCAATTTTCCCTTTCTGTGGTGTTTAGCAAGCAAAGTTACCAACCCAGACAGGGAAAGGAAAGAAAGGCACAGCACTCTTAGAGAATCCATCAGGTGGTAAGATCATCCCGTGGTCGTAGTTCTTTAAAATTATAATGCACATTAAACTCAGTGAGGGGCACCTGGGTGGTTCAGTCGGAGGGACTCTCATGGTCCACGAGTTTGAGCCCTGCGTCAGGCTCTGAGCTGACACCTCAGAGCCTAGATCCTGGAGCCTGCTCTGATTCTGTGTGTCCCTCTGTCTCTGCCCCTCCCCTGCTTGGGCTCTGTCTCCTGCACTCACTCGCTCTCGCTCACACTCTCTCTTTCTCGCTCTTAAAAAGCAAATAATAATTAAAATAAATAAATAACTCTGTGAAAACATGATCTTAGCCCCAGAGTAAAATTTTGTGAAGGTGGTAAGAAAAAAGTTTTCAAATCTTGGATTCTGTATTCTATATAAGTTTATATAGATTTCAGGGAGACCTCATTGGTTCAAGGTTTATTACAGACAGATGATGCTTATAAGAGCATCTTCCTTTGATTTAGGGAAAACTTGCCCTTGCCTTAAACCATCATCTGTCAATGTCTCCGAGGAAGCCCGAGGCACTTCTATGAGACGCTCTGCCAACAGTACAAAACCAGCATCAGGAAATTTTAAAATGAATTACCTATATTAATTGCAGTTTCTTGTTTGTCTCCCGTCAACACCCATATTTTAATCTCTGCCTTCAGGAGCGTGGCTATGGTTTCTGGAACACCTGCCTGAAGGCGGTCTTCTATGGCTGTGGCTCCAAGTAACAGTAAATTCTAGATTGAAAAATAACATCAGTTACAGATCAGTACATACTTAAGAGGAGCAGGAATGACAGAACAGACCCAAAAAGGCAGCTGAAATGTCAACAGTTCTTTCATTTCCTCTACATTAAGCCTTTGTCTGCAAATAATTAATGATGCTTGATGTACTGCGTTTCAAGACTATTTGCAATTTTAGATCCCCTCACAACACAGAGGCAGCCCAGGATTCATCCTTTACTTCGCGGTCCGCGGGCGTGTGAAAACAGCAGTGGCCTAGCAGTAAGGCTTATGGGCACGCCATCCTGAGGACACTCAGTACGTGAGCCCTCCCCTCCCGCTCCACTGAGGACACTCAGTACGTGAGCCCTCCCCTCCCACTCCACTGACGAGCCAAGGACCCGCTGTGTAATAGTTAACACAGAAGCAAAACGGATTCTAGAGGACAACACTCATCTGGCAATAGAGAGCTAAGAGATGGTGGATGCTAACAGTTTAACAGCCAAACTAAAAAATATCCAAGTATTTCAAGATTGAGGAGCCAGGACGTGTCACCCCTGTTAAACTTCTTCCAGGCCCTCAAAGGGTTAGTTCACAGTGAGGGCAAGTATGGAGGCCCTTTGCCTGCCAGTCTGGCAGATTCCACAGCCCCTGCCCGGAGAGCCCGCTAACCACTCACCTACCTTCCCTGCGTCTCTCCATGACAGAGTACCTTAGCTTGATTACCTGCTTGTGGGAAAAGCTTCCACGTGTGCTTGGTACCATTGGCACCACATGGGCACATTGCCCACCTGATGCTTTCTGCCTGCCTCCTTCAAGCTCTTTTGTTTTGTTTTTTAAGTAGACCTCATGCCCAGAACGGAGCCCAGTGCAGGGCCTGAACTCACATCTCAGAGATCAAAACTGGAACTAAGATCAAGAGTCAGATGCTTGGGGGCTCCCTGGGTCGCTCAGTCGGTTGAGCGTCCAACTTTGGCTCAGGTCACGATCATCCGGTTTGTGAGTTCGAGCCCCCTGTCGGGTTCTGTGCTAACAGCTCAGAGCCTGGAGCCTGCTTCAGATTCTGGGTCTCCCTCTCTCTCTGACCTTCTCCTGCTCCCATTCTGTCTCTGTCTCTCAAAAATAAATAAATGTTTAAAAAGAGGGAGATGCTTAAGTGACTGAGCCACCCAGATGCCACTATTTAATCGTCTTCTAATTTTAAAGTAATTTTGGGTATTCCAGTAAAGCAAAGCAAAGGTACACTTGAATTTTGTTCTCCTCCTACCAAATTCTATTAAATGACAAGTAAATATAAAACTCAAGCAAAAATGGAATATAAAAAAAATCCAAGAATAATTTTTAAAAACACCAAGAAGGAAAAAAGCAAATGACTTCAGAGTTTGGGAAACTGGAAAATGGATGGCCAATTGTGGCTAACATGAAACAGAACAAGGTGAAATCCAGCTCCCAGTCTGAGGGAATCCAATATCTAGAAAGCTACCTGACACCTGGGGATAAACTGAAAAGAACAGCAACAACAACAAAAATCAAAGTTGGCAATACAAAGCAGCAATGGCATAGGTAGCTACTATTAGGGCGCCTGGGTGGCTGAGTCAGTTAAGTGGCCGACTTCAGCTCAGGTCATGATCTCATGGTTTGTGGGTTCGAGCCCCACGTCGGGCTCTGTGCTGACAGCTCAGAGCCTGGATCCAGTTTCGGATTCTGTGTCTCCCTCTCTCTCTCTGACCCTCCCCTGCTCATGTTCTCACTCACGCTCTCTCTCAGAAATAAATTAAAAAACAATAAAAAAAAAAAAAGGTAGCTACTATTAGAATAAGTGTGCAAATTCTCAGAATGAACAATGTCCAACCAGCCTGTGAACTCTGATCCACGTAACTCATGTAACTCAATAGGGTGAGCTAAACTCATTAAGCCTAATCTTAGGTAAACCCAGGAAGTCACTGACACAGTTTTTGACCTGATACTTCTTAAAATACCATTAACACTTAGCCGAAAGGGGTCCAATCTTTCAGGTAGCCCATCAAAACTAAGTGTTTCTTGGGGCACCTGGGTGGCTCAGTCAGTTGAGCATGTGACACTGGCTCAGGTCATGATCTTGTGGTTTGTGGGTTTGATCCCCATATCAGAATCCATGCTGACAGCAGAGCCTGCTTGGGATTCTCTGTCTCCCTCTCTCTCTGCCCCTCCCGTTTGTGTGCGTCGCTCTTGCTCGCTTGCTCTCTCTACCTCTCCCAAAGTAAATAAACAAACTTTTAAAACAGAAGAAAAAAATCTAAATGTTTCTTAAAGCAAAGAAAGACATCATTAAAAGCTAATGGTTAAGGGGCACCTGGGGGACTCAGTTGATTAAGCCAACTGACTCTTGATTGTTAGCTCAGGTCATGATCTCAGGGTCATGAGATCAAGCCCTGTGTCGGGCACAGCGCTGAGTACGCTCACCACTGGGTGTGGGGCCTGCTTTGGATTCATTCTCTCAAACTCTCTCTCCCTCCCTTTGTTCCTTCCCCTCCCCCTCCCCCATGCACACATGCTCTCTGCTATAGAGCTGAAGAGTTCCCGTCCAAAGACTTTGTTCAGTATGTGATGGAGCCCTCCCTGGACACATAACAAGTGTACCGCGTGCAGTTACCTTCTCTATGATCTCATAGCACTCTTCCAACCGCTGAGCTCGGTCTTTCAAGATGGTGCTGGCTTCCTGATAGACTTTCAGCCACTCCTCATACTCATGCTCAGAGAGGTCAGCGTAAGCCACACAGAGAGTCCTCAAGCCTGCAAAACAGCCACGGCGTACCCAGTGATGCAAACAAGCAGGACACCTTCCCTCTGAGGGGACACCATGTGGCCCCAGCATACTCAAGACAATTAAACTATCTGCTGTTTAGGTCACTAATTCACGTTCCACTCATCGGAAACGGGAATGTAGGAACAAGTCTACCACATTTGGCTATAAGCCACGTCATGTATAAAGTGGAGAGGCCCGGAGCAGCGAGGAGCCGTGAACGTGGACTCCCTACAGCAGAGCCGCACAGGAGCTGGGCGTGATCCGCACGCCCCTGCGCCGCAGGCAGGTGGCAGCGCAGAGAGGCGGCGGCAGTACATTTCAGGACGGCAATAAAGGCCCAACGTGCTATCACATGGAAGATCCAGGCTCCCAAGCAGACACACGTGCACACACACGCTTGCAGCCAGAGGAGTGCATGAGCAAAGAGAGCAGCACGCAGCACGTAGGCTCCAACCCCCATCGTATTGACTTGCTGGAATTTCTGACATCAGTGTCATTCGAGGCCTTTCAGAGGGCTCCTTCCCTATGCTCTGTGGATACAATGAATTACTGTTTCTTCAGGTCCTGGATCCACCAGCGTCACAAGGATGACAAGAGGTCAAGGAAACGAGGACATGGGTTTTGGGAGAACAGGAACATTCACGACAGAATGATCTACACATTGTGTGCGGCCTGCCAGTTCCTTTCATACTTCACAGTCCCACGGGTACCTCGGTGTGGACTCTCACGCACCTCACATCAATGCACGTGGCGGGGGGGGGGGCACTAGGCAAGTACACTCCCAGGAAGCAAGCCAAGTACGGCAAGACACGGACACGTCCGTTCAGACCATGACCCCCAAGCGTCAGCCGCAAACGCTTCAAAGTACAACTTGAGTGGCTGAAAGCAACATGCCCCGATCACACTTACCTTCCGTGGCAAAGTATTCCAGGTGGCACAGTGTTTCTTCCATGTATTTTGAGTCTTTTGAAAGCCTCTCAAAAATTACATTATCCTATAAAATAGAGAAACATTGTGACTGGCAAACCTTGAAGTCAACCTTCCGGTCCGCATTCTAAGCCAGCGTGCAGGAGAATACTCGAGTGGGCAAGCAGGAACACGGTTCTCCGCCAGAGTCGCTCACGAGCTCTGGAAAACACATCAGGTCCGGAGGTGTCCAGACAGACACTTGTCGGGGAGAACCGTAAGCGTCAAGGGAACAATCAGGGATATGATGGTCCCTACATTTACCCGGATTTGCAAAATACAGACCGATGTGTATAACACCTTTGTGCCCAAGTGCAAAGAGTAGCACGCGCATCCGAAACTGCTCAAATACACTCTGGCTTCCTGACGCTGCAGGAGCTCCAAGCCAGGGAGGGCGCAGCCCACCAGGCACTGACCCCAGTTCAGCTGCGCAACACTGAGGAACACAGCTCAGAACAGTTCTCTGTGATGAAAATACAAGGCACAACAACTACGAATAGCTGTTTGAGAACACACAGGCACGCACACACACGCACACACAATCTCAGAGTACTTAAAAGAGGATCACAGGTCAGTATGAACCGTTCAATCTTCCCCATGTCACAACATAATGGCAAAAAGACTACAATCAGAAGTCACACGTGACTCGCGTGACAGGGCAAGCTGCGGTCTCTGAAACAACTCCTCACCAAAAGGAAGGCTTTCAGGGGCCATGGTTGCCACGCTGGCCTGAACTGCCATGACCTCCAGTGGGCCCTTCCTACCAAGTCCGCATTACGGCTGATCTGAAAGAGCCTTTCGGCCTTGGGCACAATCACTAACAGCGGTCAGGAGAAGCAGGCTCACGAAGTAGCCGCCAAGGGCACCTTGCGACATGAGACGCTTAGCCGGTACTTACAGCCCCCTTACAGTAGAGTCGAAGTTGGCCTGAAGGAGTTCGAACAATTACAGACATTCTTTTTCTGTCACTGTAAGAGTAGAGGGGGAAAAAGCAAAGTTACCACTGGTCTGTATCCCAGGACCCACGTCCTGTGGCGACACATCGAACACATCAAGCAATGATCTGGCAGTCCTGAAGCCGGAGCAGCTCCATTTTCCTCCAGAGATGGGCTTTAATTGTATACCTCCCCCTCTTTTTGTGTATGCATAATGGAGATACACCTATTTTTCCCTGCCATGGAAACTCACTAATACAGCTATTTATAGCAGGAGCACCGAAACAGAAAACTGGACCATCTGCTATGCACGTCTAATTCACTTCTGACAATACTCCATAAAAGTGTTGTTCTACAGCTCAGAATATTAGTAACCTCCCCAGTAAGCAACAGAGTGAGGTTTCTATATAAATCCACTCAACCCAAAAGCCCCTTGTGTGACTTCTCCTAACTGGAGCGGAGGGCAATCAGAAAGTCCTACAACCTCAGCACCGAAGTGTGCCTAACTGCTGCCCTCCTTACGCCCACGTGGACACACCTATGCTGGTCTTTCATCGTGACTCATGCTCACTGACAGAGCCTTCCACGCCTCCCCACTGCCTACAGACTGAAATTCTTGCTGCCCTCCACTCACCTCTGCAGCCCGGCCTCCTCCCACACGAGCCCTCCCACGCACTAGCAGGCCCCCCGCACTCCGGGAGACACACCGCCACCCCCAGACCTCCTGCCCCATGCCTTTTGCAGACAACATCGCGTCCTCCTGAAACGCACCCCAACCGCAGGGGCCAGACCACCCGGCCCAGCACGGGGATTTCCAGTGGGCTAGGAGCGCCTCACACCCAGGGACACGGTCTCTCCAGCTCCGTGTAAATCCCCACATCCTAACCCTCGGCACTCTGTCCAGCCCGGATTTGAATTCTCCCTCGGCTACCTAGAAGCAAGGTACTCGCGGCAAAGTTGTCTGCCCAGCATCTTGGTTTCTGATGCGGAAAGCAGGGCTGCCACCAAGTACCGCAAAGGACTGTTATCAGGGTCGAGTGGCGTTTGGATAAAAGAGGAGTCTAGCAGAAAGAAAGAGAACCACAGCCGTAACGATAATTGGTCTCTTACCCTCTCACGGTCTCCCACAGGTTTTCAAAACACCCTCCTGTCCCTGCCCACAGTCACCTGCTTCGCTCTAATTCCCTTTCCTCCTGCTTGTCCCTCCGTAACGGCTGGTCCCAGTGAACACAGCCACGTGACAGCACTTTCCTGGCAACCAGTAGGCGACGGAGCACAAAAATGCCGGAGTAGTGTTTAGTATGTCCCCACCTCCACCACAGGGACACTGTCCCTCCTCCCCTGTATGAACCACTACCCTTACCAACCATCGTTCTTCTCCTCTCAGTACCTAACCCCAAGGGCTCTTGACCCGCCCAAGTTCAAGTTTTCAGTCCGAAAACCAAAGCCAAGGGCTGGAAACCATCTGTTAAAGCAGGGTTAAAAATTGATCTTTTTCAAACAGCTTATAAAGCAGAGTAAACAATGTGTGAAATCACTTAACAAAGGTTATTTTAAAAAACCCAAATTTTAATTATAGGAAGGCATGCTCTCGAGGCAGCCAAAGAACTTTGCTCTAGTACCGACAGTCAGTGTTAAGAAGAGAGAAAAACGTTAAGACGTTTTTTAATGACAAACCAAGAATGATCTAGGGAAGCAAATCAACCAATATTCGTGGGTCTGGAAATCAGAGACACTGCCCCGGGGAAGGAGGAGATGGAGTACACACAGGACAGCTGCGTGGCTCGGACAAAGCCTCTGATGGGGAGGGACCTTGGCTGTCGCTTCCCAGCATGACGGTGCTGAGCTGGAGGACGAGCCACGCCCCCACGGGACTGGGGAAAGACCGGCAGAAAAAAGGCCCTCCCCCCCCCCCGTCACACACTCCAAGCTACGGACATATGTCTGCAGCTGCTGACGCAACAGCGGGTCTGGAAATCCAAAGCGAGGAGGATACGGAAGCATAATGCTTTGCTCAGGGAAAACCCACACCCACACGCACAGAAAAATGACCTACTTCACTTTCTTGAAAGCAAATCACGAATTCCAGACAAGAGAGGGACTGTGGAGATGTATTTACTAAATTTAATACCGAAGTACTACATTTAATCATATTATACAACCTTGCCAACACTCTGATGAAGCTGTTAAATAGAAATGGAAGTATTTAATTCCAAGTGCATGAAAGAGAAGCATACCTAGAAAATTCCAGGACGTTAAGGATTCCAAATGTCTGTTCCTGTCCCATCTGAAGGAAGAAAAACAGGCTCTTACCTGGGGTGCAAAGTATCAAAATCTCAAAACAACAGCCTCCCCAGTCGTAAACCTCTCCCCATCCCTCCGCTCCTTCCAGCGCTTTCTCTCCCTGCATGTGGCACACACACATAGATATCCCTGTCTCCCTCCCTCTATACTATACAAACATAGATGATCTATCCTGCTCTCCCTCCTCCTCCCCTCATTTTCTCTCCATCTCCATCTCCCTGCAGAAGGCCCTTTCAACAGGTACGGGTTTCCCACATGCCAGTCCGGTGGGGCCATGGCTCCCCCTTCTGGTAGAAGCTTCTCATCTTCTCCAGGACATCACAACCGATGGCTGACATGGTCCCTACCAAGACCACCTGAAACCCTGGGGCCAGTCATGCTTCTGAATTCAGAATTCTATACGTTTTATTAACATGGACACATCCACCACGTGCCAGGATTTCCCCAGAGGAGCCTGGGGCAACACCACCCTATAATCCACCACGTCAACGGCCCACCACAGAAGGTAGGACGGGAGACTCCTAAGACCATCAACGGCCTCACATCAGTTCTGGTTAGGTTCTGCTGCCAAAAGCCGACTCCCCAAGTCCAGGAGAAAAACTCTTGGAATTCAAAGCTTCCTGGATTTTGGATTTAGAAATAAGGATTATGGATCCACATAAGATTTTAGGGCAATTAATCAAATGTGGTTTCTCTTCAAGTTCTTCAGTTGGAACCTCAATAATCCTGATTTTTCCCAGAAGGCTGCAGGCTGTGTGTGTACCATTTCTCAAACTCCTTAATCAAACCTGCTCTCCGTGTCCCCAGTACATCACCGTGGAAGGAGCGTGGGCTCTGAAGTTCCCTAGGGAGGAGTTAGAATCTTATTTCTGCCACTAACCGTGTGGCCTCCTTACGAGTAGTGGTAGCACGTGTCCCCCAGGCTGAAGGGAAGTAATGAATGAAGCAACGTGCAAGTTACCCAGGGCGTGACTGAGGCGTCACTGCCGGCCTGTCCCCACCCCCCTCACACCCTGAGCCAGTGAGCAGCCTCATCCAGCCCGCGGCAGCCTTTCTCCCTTCCTTCCTCAACCAGCAGGCCTTTCTCTGCAGGCTGTCACCATGTTCTCACATGCCCACCGAGAAGCGTGCCCGCTGTTACCCACAAACCGGCATGACTGCCAGGACTGCCAGGGGCCAACCCCTCTTGGCCATCACGTCACCCAGTGTGCATTCGTGTGGAGCCCCGGACGCAGCCATCAAGACCACCGGTGGCAGCCACTTCACGTAAATAGCTGGTAATCGACCTGAGAAGGTGTGGTCTGACGACACTCTTGTTCTAATGGCTGAGTAGGATTTTACAGTTATTGTTTACGACCCTCAACTAGTCAGACAGTCTTATTCAGCCCATAATGGGTTAATAGGGTGCCATGTACCACCGTGATGACAAGGTCGGGGGCTCCCCAGCTTCCCTGTATGTATCCGGTCATGTGAGCAAGGCAGAGCAGCCGTTCTCTCCTCGTCTCTCCCACTTGTGCCCAGTCAGCCCAGTCCCCCTCCCAGTCCCCGTCGCCCCGATGCAGAGAAAACAGCACACCCATGTGACAGCAGATGGCACAGAGGAGGTGTCACATCCCTTAATCTGAAGGGGGCAAAGACCTCTCTTACGAAACACTTCCACAAAGGAAATTCTGTATTCAGTCCATTACTTTGCTCCACTTCTAATGACTGCACCTCTTCCTAAGCTAGACTTGCTGGTGATCAGAATAAAGTAAAAATAATTACGGTTTGATCTCTGACCTCAAGAAAGCAGGAACCCGAAAATGGCAAGAAATGGGCACTCTGTCGAGGTCTGATATTTTCTGGGTTTTGTGTTTCTAAGTAGAAGAAAAAAATGGAGCACCGCTAAGCCTGGATCAACAACTATATAAGTTAGCAGTGAATTTCAAATGCATCTGGCAAGGTCTAGAGACACAAGACGCATAAAGGCAGAAACTGTTATAACCTACAAATCCTCCCCAAATGGAGGGGAGCAGGAAGGCAAAGGATAGAGAAGGCGGTGACTGCCTCCAGGCCCCTCATCAACCCAGACTGTAACAAAGCGCAGCCCCTCTAACTGGTCAGCATCAAAAATGCCAGCACCTTGCCAGTCCTAACCATCAACTTCCCCCGTTACCCGCCTCAAGGGTCCCTACGGATGTTATTCTTGATTTCCATTTTTCCCTGTCACCAAATTTCTCCCTCAGGCTTCCTGAGCAGCAAAACTCAAAAACAAAACAAAACAAACCAACAAAGAAAAAGCAAAAAACCCAACAACAACAACACCAAAAAAACAGAAACAGGTTTGCTAGCTTCTTTTTTATATATATAAGTTTTTTTTTTTAAGGCTTACTTATTTTTGAGAGAGAGAGACAAAGTGTGAGCAGGGGAGGGGCAGAGAGAGAGGGAGGCACAGAATCCAAAGCAGCTCCAGGCTCTGAGCTGTAAGCACAGAGCCAGGTGTGGGGCTCGAACTCACTAACCGGGAGATCATGACCTGAGCCGAAGTTGGACACTTAACCGACGGAGCCGCCCAGGAGCCCCTTGCAAGGTTCTTTACTACAAATCACACCGGCATGTGACAGCCTTGTGGAGAAGCATCTTTGAGAGAAAAATGCCCACAACAGAAAACCAACATGAATCACACATAGCCTGTGGTTTCACAACAGGGCCTAGTTTCTCACTGGAGAGAAAAAAGAAAGAAAGGTAGCTATCATGTTTACATCAGACATGCTATTTCAAATAGGGTCTTCAAAGAAGTAGGGAACACAAAGCATCTAGAGGTGTCCAGGCTTGCCACTTACGGCTTCTATGATGACGGAGTATGGCGTTCTGGCCGTGAAGACAAAACCCAGCTTCCGGGCTCCCTTCACCAAAGCGGCTTCATCTGTCAATAGAGTTGACGAGGCATGGCTAGCACAGCAACGCAGAGTTCTGTGAGCCCACACGAGTTTACAAACTAACCAAGTAGCAGCAGTTAGAGAGGCCCGGCCTCGGCGCAGCAGGGTAAGGACTCCCCCCGCCACCAGAGTCCTGAAGGCAGCACTCCCATTGGGTGGGCAGACAGGACCTAAAACTGACTCACGGGGACAAGAGAGCTGGCAAACCTAGCAGCCTTGGCTGGGGCCAGGTGCTCCCCAAGGAACGGGAGCACATTCCCTGGACTCTGACTACCCATCTTCTTGGAGAGGTGCCGTCTCAGGTCTGGTGCCCCGGGAGTCGGAGCTCCGGGAAGCAGGTGGCGAGTTAGACCCACTTCACGGGCAGTGGAGAACCTACGACGGGCAGCAGCTGAACAAGGCAGCCAGGCCGGCCTCCCCGGAGTCCCGCCCAGCGCAGGGACTTCCACTGGGGGACGCGGGATGGCCCGGGGCCTCCCGCCGAGGGCGCACTGTCACAGGGTCAGGGGGGCCCAGCACCACCCGCCTGCAGCTTCATCACTCTGACCATAGGGTGCGAACTGCATGGGGCAGAGGTGAACAGCGGGGCCTCCGTGGGGCAGACCGCCCTCCTCACCCCCTCCCCACGGTAAACGCGGACAGCAGGGCACACCCAGCCCAGAGCCCTCACCTGGGGAGGAAGCCTGGTAGATGATGTGGTCTCCATCCTTCTCCGGGACGACGGTGTGGCACACGGCCAGAAGGGTGAGGAAATCCTGGATGCAGGGAGCTGTGGGCTATAGACACGGGGCGAGGTGTCAAACACCTGTGAAGACGCTGCTGACAGCCCCGCCTCCAGCCCGCTCCTGGCTCCCTGCCCCCTTCAGAACACAGGTCAGGATCGCAGCACGGACCCCACGTCCCCCATGACGGGGCAGCCGCTCACCGCCCAGCTCCACCGCCTCCTGCTCCTCCCCCTCCCGCGTGCCCCACCAGCCACAGTCCCGAGATCTTCCAAAAGGCTCCACCGGTCCCACTGCTCTTACCACCCCCCCCCCACTCGCAGCCAATTCTCACCCACCCTCCCAATTTCCGTTCAATGGTCACTGCATCTGAGCAGTCCCCTATCACCCCGTCTTGGAACACAGTTCTTAATGCACTAACCCTGGTACAGATGAGATCGAGGCGGTGGCTCGTGCCCCTCCCAGGGTCCCCCAGCCCCCGCCTCGCTTGCTCCAGACTCTTCAAACGGTCCCGCCGTGCACATGCTGCTTGCCCACTTGTGGAGGTCCAGGGCGCTGGCAGCGCATCTGCCTTCCTCACTAACGTAAGCCCAGGCCCAGCAGACGGAAGGCACTCACATCCATGTTGGGTCAGTACACGGAGAACAGGCCCACCCAACGGGTGAGTCCCTGCCCTCTCGCTTCCACAGTCCTGGCACTTCCTCTACACCATGTCTGTTCTTTACCTTAATAATTGCTTACAAGCTATAAGCAGTGCATCCCTCACCTATTACTCAAAACAAACAAAAAAAAACAAAAAAAAAAGTCCTGGATATGGATTTAATATACTTCTCCAATCCTACACACACACTCAATTTTCACTGGGACTAGATTATATAAATAATGGAGAAATGCCGTCTTAAAATTGTTTACCCATCTAAGAATACAGAATGCTTTCCTGTTTATTAAAGGCTTCTCATGCTCCTAACTATAGGCCTTGGCATATTTTCTGATTAATTTTTTCTTCATTCAAAAAATATCCACATGCCTACTATACACGAGGTACTGCACTAGACGTTTTATCTATTTTTTATATTATGGATAGAATCTTATTTCTATCATATTTCACAAGAGTCCATTCACATGTTAAGGACAAACACGGAGTTTTATAAGTGATGGGGCGCCTGGGTGGCTTAGTCAGTTGAGCGTCCGACTTTTGCTTAGGTCATGATCTCGCGGTTCGAGGGTTTGAGCCCCGCGTTGGGCTCTGTGCTGACTGCCAGCTCAGAGCCTGGAGCCTGTTTCAGTCTGTGACTCCCTCTCTCTCTGACCCTCCCCTGCTCACGCTGTCTCTCTCTCTCCTAGAAATAAAAAACATTAAGAAAAAAAGGGAACTTAATGTCGATTGTAATTAACGTCTTCCCAACTCTCCGAGTTTCTGCTGACTCTCCCGGGTTTTAAGGCAGACAACTATCGTATTATCCTCAGGTGACACTTTCCCGGTCTTTTCTAACATATACACTTGCGTTCTTACTTGCCCACTTGGGCTAGCACTCTAAGGACGATGTTCAAAGCCAGAGGTGATACGGGCCTCCGTGTCCTCAGGTTATTTTAATGCCAAGGTCTTTAATATCTCACTTTTTGACAGGCAGCTGGCTATAAATTTGAGATAGATTTGTATCACTGATCGGGAAGCAACTTTGTTTTCTGATTTCTGCGGAGTTTTTGTTTTTACTCCTTTAGTCACAAATGGACAGTGATCAGTATTTGAAAACATGTTGAGTTTCTCCTCTGACCTGTTAATCTGACTAAAGAGAAGCTTTAGGCAAGCAAATCACAACTGCTCACATGGCTACTTCTTATCAGCCTTCAGAAAAGGAAAACACACGCTCAATTACAGTTCAGTGAAATCAAGCAAGTTAGAGGGTTTACAAACTCCCCAAGGTCTACACTACAAAAACAATAAGAAATTTTACCCAAAAGCACTGTGACAACCGGGCGTCAATTCAGGATTGCCCTCTCCACGTGCAAGCCTGTGCCCCTCTCTCACTGGCCAAAGCCGTGTCATGCTCCACGCTCTTGAACTAATAAGCACTGGCGTGGGGATCTAACTGCACCTCCTTGAACATGGCGTTGGGGAATCAACCCTGGTGACTCTGACATCGTATCACGGAATCGTTTGCTGAAATTAAAAGTGACCATCTCTAGGATTATGAGTATTTGGGGGATATATTTATAATGTTAATTTCTGGAGAGTATAGGATTTAAAAAAAAAAAAACTATATACAGGATGATCTCGGCATTTGCACTGAATTCACACACAGAAAAAGATACAGAAAGGAACAGACTGAAATGTTAATGGTACTTGGCAGCAAAGGGCAGAAGCGATTTGGGGAATTAAAAAAATACTCTGTATTCTCTAAGTTTTTCTGCAGTGAAAATAAATTGCTTTTTATATTAAGGCCACCACTCCTTCCCAGTTTCTAAGTCATCAGCGTGGCTCAGAGAACTGGCTCTCTGCGAGGCCCCACTACCTGCCAACCACAGACCAATCCCACGAATGCTCCCTTGGGCAGCTTCCAGTCACGCCCCGCCTCTACACGCTCTCCCACCTCTCACTGGTGTCAGTCACCCAGCCCTGCAGCCCCTTCTGGTGGATGATCCCTCTTCCAAAGGAGCAGGCCGAGCAGGCCGTCATCACCCCAGTCTGCTGCGCTGAATGTCCCCGGGCTTGATATGGGGGGGGGGGGGCGGCACAGGGAAGCTAGCACCCCCTGTGAAGGGCAGTCGACCACTTCCCCAGGCCAGGAAGGTGCAGCGGGACCAGAGGCCTCCAGCTCTCCGGTGCATCTGCCCAGAAGAGTGCAACCCTGGTCCCAGGGTCTCGGTCCCACTAGACTTTGATGCAGAGGATTTCGGGAGGCTGCCGAGTCTGCCTTCTAAGAAGTTCTGCCAACTTTACAATTAGATCTTGGGCCTGGTCTTCGGCAATACTGGCCCTGGCGGCAGGAATTGGAGGAAGTATTTAACGGCTGCCACGGATGACATTGGCTTTCACGCTGTGCCTGACACTGGCAATCAACAGCCCAAGCTCACGGTTTTCTCTTCGATATGAATGGTACTCGGCAACAGCCAGTTCCACGGGCAAGTCACTGATTTAGCGAAATAGAAACATACAATCTATACAAATGTACTGGAGGGGGGAGGGGGGAAGGGGAGAACAGCCTCCTCCTGCACCTGAGAACTATCCTGTCCGCACATCTCATCCCATAGTGTAACATGAAAGAGGGTCTTTGATTTCATAGCAAATCGTAAAATGTTTCTGAGCTATAAAGAAAAGCCGTGCGTGCACACACACTCAAATGAAGTTTCCACTTTGAGTGGTGGGCCAGACAACATTTGTAAAGATCCCTAAAAACTATTCTAACTGGTTCTCCAGTTAACCTAGCCTTCTATAATAAATTAGGGAAACGGGACAACCCATTTGCAGCCTGTGGGGAAGGGGTTTGTAGGATCTTTGAAACAAGGGCTCCATGTTTGAAAATAAACTTTTTTTTCCTGCAACTTCCCACAAAAGCCTTTTATAACTTCCAAGAAATGATTGTTGGACAATGTATGCATGCATGTGTATGCATCTTTTCAGAAGTTAAAGCTTTTGTATGTGGAAAAATCTACACTATCATTTTAACCATCTCTGAGCGCATGATTCAGGGACATTAAAAGACACTCACATTGCTGTGTACCTACCACTACGTTTGTACTCGAAACTTCCATCTTCCCAATTCTGTACCCATCAAATGGTATAAACTCCCTCTTCTTGCCTTCCACTAGCCCTTCATAACCTCTATTCTGCTCTGCCTCTCTGAATTTGTCTATTTAAGGTACCACATAATCATAAAATATCTGTTTGGTCTGTATAAAATGCTTTCTGTATCTAGAAATGAGAATTTATTTGATGAATGTAAAAAAAATAGAAAACTAGGCATGTCTAAAATTGGCATGCTAAATCACAGCTATAAAGCTTAAATGTACATATACAATTTCTTCCTGAAGACTCCAGCTCCAAAGTCCTAGGCATAATGACTCAAAATAAAATTATGTGTTCTTCCCTGGTAAATCTTGGAAAAATTACCCCACCAATAGGGAGTCACTGGTTAGCAATGTAAACAGAGCAACAGGTAAACTGTTCCTGGAAATTTTCTGTAGGTGGATCCTTTAACAGGCAAATTCCGCCTTGGCTATCAGCCTACACTGTGCTTAAAGCACAGTCCCAGAGGAGCCAGAAATTCAGAAATGATGACCCAGGAAAAACAACAAATCAGTAGCATATGGAGGTACTCCCTTGGGAGCAAGGTAAAGGGTTTCTTGGTCAAAATGCTTGAATTTTCATCAACGGTCCCAAGACTATTCAGATATGAAAGCGGGATATCTATTGCTAAAATCCTGAAGTGCTACCTCCCTCTCCTCAACCATATTTCGGCAAAATAACCAAGTGACCTAAGAGGCTCTGTACATTAGATGTTTTAAAAATCCATTAAGTACATTAAAGCTAATCCCACATTTTCTGAAAGAAAAATATTGGAGCCTACGATCCTCTTTATTTACAGTCAAGCTAGATGTTAAATGTCAATGGGGTAATTAACATAGTAGCCAAGATGAAGAATACCTCAGAAGGCTTCAAGCAGACCTTTAAGAAGAAGTGAATACAGGCTTTTACTAAAGTAACAGAAAATAAATTCTCCAATCCTTGGCCACATCACACATTCAATGAACTGGGAGTGTCCAGATTATTAAAATTTCCTTTAAAGTCTCCATGTTTACATTGATGCTTATGATAACCTCAAATGTCAGGGATTCCCTTATGAAAACAGGGGTGCCTCTGCCCCACTACTCTTGATGGCCTTTCTGCTGGAATAAAAGGAAATCTGGCTCAGGACGGTAGATGGGGAGGAAACAATGGATGAAAAAAGCAGCACCAACTTCTCCAAGAGTAGGGTTCCTTCCTGAAATGCATGCCATTGACCACGGGGGCAGGAAATGCTCCTACTGGAGGATTCTGACCCATACTCAGAAGTGTTACCTTCAGGTCTCCACTCGAAGGTCCAAAGAGGACAGAGCACGCGACTGATGGTCAAAAACCACACACATGCATGGGTTCAGCTTTGAAGAGAACATCTGTACGTATGTATAAATTATCTAAGCTCGTGGTTTCAAGATTTCCACAGCAGAGATCCCAGCAGCAAACGTAGAGAGTCTCCCAATGATCTCTTCTCCAAATGAGGGTCTGTGGCCCTGTCCACTGACTTTCTATACCAGCCCACATTTTAGGGGAATGCAAATTACCATTCAGTGTGGGTGCCCACAATGCCCACACTTCAACAATTCTGTTAGCCCCTAACACCCAAAGAGAGCAGACTCCTCTATCTACACAAAAGGCAATCGCTTTCTCAAGGAGTGGTATCGGCCCTATCCCTATGCTGCAAAGGTAAACAATGGCTCCTAATGATTTCACATGTTTTCTCAATTAAGAGAACTCCCCTGAGTGTGTGTCGTCTCTTCCCCTAGTACCTAGCAAGGTGAAGGATAAATGAGTAGATAAATGAGTCTCTTACTGAAATTCGGATCCACTCGCATGCTGTTCCCAAGCTTACCCTGGGATTCTGAGGGACCCCGAGCACCAGGCTCACCCCACTTCCTCTGCTGCTTTCCCACCTACTGCTCTGGGCCAGGAAAACAAACTTTGTGAAAGGAGACAAAGAGCAGTTTCCTAAGCCTCTAGGTCACCTCTCCACCTTCTCTCTTTCCCATTGACCACCCCGACTTGAACAGACACGTTTAGTCACTTAAATACCCTCTCAACACTACTTGGGAATGCCGGAGTCCTCTTTCAGAAGGCAAGTCCTCACATCATCCGCGACTAAAGCCGCCATCCTCCCCAGAAGCTCCTGAGATGCTGCTCCTCTGCTGGGAGGACCCCTAGCCTAGGAGCTGGACCTCTAATATCAAAATTTAAAAAAACAAAAAACAAACAAAAAAAACAGTAATGCCTGTGCAGCCCGTGACTACGACACGGGGCACAGACTTCAGCAGCGTCCGCTGTGCGGTCTGGGACCACTCCATCAGCACCACCAGGGACTGAGGCAGACGGTCCGCCTCCCAGCCGCTGGACACGGGCGCCTTCCACGCTCACATCTGAGAATCGTGCCTGGGAAGGCTTTAGTACTACCAAGTGGGCACGTGCAGTGGAGAGCAGGAAATTTCCTCACCGAGAATTCAGAGAGAGAGTTTTGATTAGATCAGTCTCTTAGCATAATTTTGGAACGATAAAGTTTTCATTTTGCTCGAGTTTACCTAACTTTAAAACTTTTTCAGAAAGAAAGATCTTGGGTCTAATTTACACTGATTCAACTGGCTGCAAAGTGCTTTGGTCATTAAAGACTTTTCTCAGTTGGGATTTTTCAAAGTAGCCTTTAAAGCGAATTTAGGTAATCCTACAATTAATCCCGGCTTGTTAGCATAGTAGAGATAGTGCGAGGTCACTGTTAAGAACCAAACAGGCTTCGGTTCTGAGTCTCAGATCTACATTTGTTTGCTGGTAACTCTTGGCCAGGTCAGTATTTCCATGCAGCTTCCTATCACTTCTCTGAGAGGACTCCAGCGCTGATGAAAATATCAGATATCTGGCACGCAGATACTTGGCACGCAGTAGCATGCTATAAAAGCAACATGCTCTCCCGCCCTACTTTTCTTCCCTAGATTATCATGGTCCAAGCATAAAGCAATTGTTCACCAAAATGCAGGACCTCTTGGATTCACAACCGTGAAGAAGGAATACTGCAGAAATCGTAAAAAGCAGGAGAAAGCTGAAATGTTGGAGAATTCCATAGTGAGGAATTCTTGACGTGAGACTTTAGAGCTCCATCACCTATTTAATTCGGCTTTTCATTACCATGCAGAGTGTTAACCACAGATCACTTCCCTGAATACAAACACCAGAGAAGTAAAACTGCATCTCTTCCCCAAGGTCCAAAATTGTACATTTCAAGGCAGCACACATACAGGTAAGTAACAGTGCACCGTAAGCTATGTACCGTCCCGGAAGCAAAACAATGGCCTTACGTGATGATCTTCAATGTTCTTCAAGAGCCTAGGATCATCAAAGTCACATGAGTCACTAGGGGGAGGAGGTATCCGGCTGCGAGAGAGAACAGAAAATACTTACTCAGTTCAAACATTCCTTTAAAATCTACCCAAACCTAGTAAGAATCTGTCTTCAAGAAGAACCACACCTAAAAAGCCTATAGGTTTATAGTAAACTTTCAAAGATCTGGAATAACATATATTATTTCAGACCTCGAGGTAGAAAATCTTGAGCCTTACTGTAAAAGCATATTTTTTAATATGTTTATTATAAACAACAACATAGTTACAAGGAGAAGAAACAGAGGCAGGGGTCAACACTGTCATTTTAGCTGTTCTCTGTTTAACGTCTACCAGGGAACACTTTTGAGTATCTGCTCAAAGCAGGTAAAGTAAGAAGACTTATTGTATTGTAACTACGCTATCATTTTCAGAACTCATACGTAGAAGAGAGGAGGAGGCAAATATTGTGAGAAAGGAAACGATAAAACCCGATACGATGGTGGTGTGCTGCTCCCACACTGAAGAAAATGTGAAGAGTTAAATACATTCCTGTATCCCCACCTCCTCCTGAAACCCCTTCTTCAAAATAAAGATGATGGAAGAAGTGACCACAGCCAAGGTGAGGTCAGCATGAACTCTGGACGTCAGAGCTTAATAGAGCAGAAACCAACAGCCTGCAGGATGAGGCGCCTAGAACACAAGCTGATGCCCTGAGCAGAATCTTGGGAAAGCTGAGGAAAGGGCAGCGTGAGGAACCTGTCCCATAAAGGGACAGTGGGAAGCAGGAGGGGTTCCAGTCCATCTGAGGAAGAGTGTGCCTCCAGGAACCCTCCCCCTCCTCCCATGCAGCCAGGTAACTGAACCTGTTGGAACCCAGAAAGCCATGGAAGATTTATAGTTTAGAGAAGTTAAACCAGAGTAGCTTTAGACCCAGCAACACTGGGCACACAAGCAGGGAGGGAAGGGAATTCTCCCAAGACAGGAGTCTTAAGTGCATCCTTCATGGTCACCAACCATCTGCCTCCACTCAGCAACTTTAATAGCTACAGCCAGATTTATAGCCTGGAGAGTTCTCATGGGAAGACGACTGATCAGTTCGCATGGGAAGACAGATACTGACACCCAGGGATCCTCTAATAAAATAGCAGGTCCTGGCTGATCATCCCACAGGGAAGCCAGTCACCCATCAATGACACGGTCTTCCCTACACACATGGCCCTATCAATCAGCTTTGTTAGTATATAAATCTTAAAACATGAGCACACACCATCACTAGTCCTAAGGGAAATGCCAATCCAAACCACAATGAGATACCACTTCACACCCATTGAGATGGCTGTTATATGTATTTTTAAAAAAACAGAAATTAACAAGTGCTATGAGGATATGTGGAAAATGTGTGTTATTGGCAGAAATATAAATGGTAGAGCTGCTGTGGAAAACAGTTTGGTGGTTCCTCAAAAATTCAACATAGAATTACCACATGACCCACCAATCCCACCTTCAGGTATATACCCAGAAGAATTAAAAACAGAGAGGAGATACTTAAAATACCAATATTCATAGCAGCATTATACACACTAGAAAAGGTAGAAAAAAATGCCATCAGCAGACGAATGGATATACAAAATGTGGTATATACATACAACAAAATATCATTCAGCCTTTATGTCAATAAAATTCTAATACTACAATATGTATGATACAACTTTGAAGACATTATGCTAGGAAGCAGGAAATGGAAAGTATTAAACTAAGGACTGGCTATTTTTTGTTAAATTCTTGTTACTTTTAAAATCATATTCATGTTTAATTTTAATTTGGTTCTCTCTTGGAAAAAGAAATATGAAACTTTTATTAACAAAACACTTAGGTGAATAAGCCAATACAGAATTGTTCCAAAACCCTTCCCACTAAAACATCAAGAAGACCTGGAATCTACTTACCAAAAATCATCTGAGGATGCTTCTCTGGTCAATTCTGGAAAGTGGCTGACAGAAAGGGAAACAGAGTGTTCACAAAACTGTGATCAAAAGAGGCACTCACACAAAACATTCTCCAGGATAGAGCACATACTAGGCATGAAACAAGTCTTCATAAATTTAAGAAAGATGAAGTCCTATCAAGCATCACTTTCAACTGTAATGGTAAGGCTAGAAATCAATTGCCAGAATGAAACTGAAGATTCAAAAAAATATGTGGAGCTTAAACAATATGCTACTGAATAACCAAGGTCAAGGAAGAATTTTGGTCAATGAAGAAACAAAAAGAGAAAATATGTTGAGATAAAAGAAAATGGAAATACAACATAGTAAAATTTGCGATATAGCAGAAGCAATTCTAAGAAGGAAGTTCACAGCAATAAATGCGTACATCAAAAATCAGGAAAGATTTGGGGCGCCTGGGTGGCTTAGTCGGTTAAGCGTTCGACTTTCGCTTAAGTCATGATCTCGGTTCGTGGGTTCGGGAGCCCCGCGTCGGGTTCTGTGCTGCCAGCTCAGAGCCTGGAGCCTGTTTCAGTCTGTGACTCCCTCTCTCTCTGACCCTCCCCTGCTCACGCTGTCTCTCTCTCTCTCTCTCTCTCCTAGAAATAAACATTTAAAAAAAAAATCAGGAAAGATCTCAAATGACCCAAAATTCTTTAAAGGTTCTTTTTTTTTAATGTTTTATTTATTTTTGAGAGAGAGAGAGAGACAACGTGAGCAGGGGCTGGTCAGAGAGAGAGGGAGTCACAGAATCCGAAGCAGGCTCCAGGCTCTGAGCTAGCTGTCAGCACAGAGCCCGACACGGAGCTCGAACCCATGAACTGAGATCATGACTTGAGCCGAAGTCGAATGCTCAACCGACTGAGCCACCCAGGTGCCCCTCAAATGACCCAATTCTATAGCTCAAAAACCTAGAAAAAGAACAAATGAAACACAACTTCCTTGGTATACTAATTTTCTTAGTATAAGGAAGAAAGTAGCAAAGATTAGGGTGAAAATAAGTAAGGGGAAAAAATATCAATGAAACTAGGAGCTGGGTCTTGAGAAGACAAACAAAACTGACAAACCTTTAGCTCGACCCAGCAGGGAAAAAACAGGACTCAAAATCAGAAATGAAAGAACTGATACAATAGCAACATGATGGCTCATAGGGGACTATCATCAATAATTACATGCCAAGAAATTGGACAACATATAAGAAATAGATAAATGGATAAATACCTAGAAACAACACACCAAGACTAAATTATGATGAAATAGAAAATCTAAAATTGATCACTAGTAAGGAGATGAAGTCAGTAATCAATAACCTCCTATCAAAAGTCACATCCAGACAGCTTCACTGATGAATTCTCCCAAACATTCGAAGAATACCAATACTTATCAAACTCTTCCTAAACACAGAAAAGCAAAGAACCTTCCAAACTGATTTTACAAAGTCAGCACTACCTGATACCAAAGCCAGTTAAGAGCACAAAAAAAGAAGAGGCCAATACCCCTGATGAACATAGATGCAAAAATCCTCAACAAAGTATTAGCAAACTGAATTCAATAATACATTTTTAAAAAATCATGCACCATGACCAACTGAGATTTATTCCAGGGATACAAGGGTGGTTCAACACCTATATCCCATCACTGTGACACAGCACATTAACAAAATGAAGGATAAATATAGGATTGTCTCACTAGAGGTAGAAAAAGTATTCGACAAAATTCAACATCCATTTATGACAGACATTCTCAACAAAATAAGTATAGAGGGAACATAACTCAACAACAAAAAGGTCACATGTGACAAGCCCACAGCTAACATCTTACTCAATAGTGAAAAGCTGAAAGCTTTTCCTCTAAGATCAGGAACAAAACAACGATGTCCACTCTTGCCACTTGTATTCAACACAGCATTGGATATCCTAGCCACAGCAATCAGGCAAAAATAAAAGGTATCCAATTCAGAAAGAAGTAAAATTGTCACTATTTTTATAGCAGATGACATGATACTATATATAGAAAAGCCTAAAAACCTCACCAACTATTAGAACAAATGAATTTAGTAAAGCTGCAGGATACAAAAATCAATACATAAAGGTCAGTTGTATTTCTACAGACTAATAATGAACAATCAGAAGAGACACTTAAAAATCTCAACCAAGAGATGAAAAACCTGGGACACTGAAAACTGTAAGGCATGAAAGAATATAAACACTCAAATAAATATTAAAATATTCCATGTCCATGGGTTAGAAGAATTTATACCGTCAACATGTCCATACAAACCAACGCAATGTAATGCTGCTCCTCTGGACCTCTAATATGTAATTCCCATTAAAATTCAACAGCATTTTTCACAGCAATAAACAATTCTGATTTGTATGGAACTAAAAAAAGACTCGAATTGCCAAAGCAAACTTGAAAAACAAGAACTAGGGACATCACAGTCTGATTTCAGACTAGATTACAAAAACTATCGTAATCAATACAGGATAGTACTGGCCTAAAAACAGGTGCATAGATGAATGGAACACAAAGAGCCTAGAAATAAACCCATGCAATATGGTCAGTTAATTTCTGACAAAGGAGCCAAGAATACATAACAGAGAAAGGAAAATCTCTTCAGTAACTGGATAAATCTCTTCAACAAATCTCTTCAATAAAGTGGACAGCTACACGCAAAATAATGAAATTGGACTACTATCTTATACCATACACAAAAATTAGAATAGACTACAGACTTGAGTGTTAGACCTGAAACTGTAAAACTCCTAGAAGTAAATACAGGTGTAAGCTCTTGGACATTGATCTTGGTGATGACTTTTTTGGATCTGACACCAAAAACAAAGGCAACAAAAAGCAAAAATAAACAAAAGGGACTATGTCAAACTACAAAGCTTCTGCACAGCAAAGGGAACAATTCAACGAAATGAAAAAGGCAATCTACTTCATGGAAGAAAATATTTGTACATCATATACCTGGCAAGGAGTTAATATCTAAATATATAAAGAACTCCTGCAACTCAACAGAAAAAAAAAAATCTGATTAAAAATGGGCAGAGGGAGGGATATCTATCTGGGTGGCTCAGCAGGTTAAGCATCTGACTTCAGCTCAGGTCATGATCTCAAGCCCCATATCAGGCTATCTACTGTCAATGGAGAGCCCACTTTGGATCCTCTATCTCCCTCTCTCTCTTCCCCTCCTCCACTCATGCGTGCTTGCTTGCTCCCTCACTCTCTCAAAAATAAACGTTTTTAAAAGTGGGCAGAAGCTCTGAATAGACATTGTTATAAAGAAGACAAATAGATGGCCAACAGGTACATGAAGATGTGTTAAACATCACTAATCATCAGGTAAATGAAAATCAAAACCACAATGAGCTATCATCTCTCTTACCTGTTAGAATGGTTAGGAGAAATAAGTGTTGGCAAAAATGTGAAGGAAAGGAAACTCTTGTGTGCTTCTGAGGAGAATGTAAATTGGTGAAACTGCTATGGAAAACCATATGGAGGTTCCTTAAAAAACTAAAAATAAAACTACCATATGACCCAGCAATTCCAATTCTGGGTATTCAGCTGAAGAAGATGAAAACACAAACTCAAAATGGTATCTACACCCCATATTCACTGCAGCATTATTTACAATAGTCAAAATACAGTCCAGTCATCCTCACTGTCTCTAAATGGATGAAAAGATAAAGAAAATATGGTAAGTATACATGATGGAATATTATTCAGCCATAAAAAAGGAAATCTTGCTATTGGTGACAACACGGATGGACCCTGAGGGTACTGCTAAGGGAAGCCTGCCAGCCAGAGACAAATCCCATACCATCTTACTTCTATGTGAAACCTGAATAAATAAATAAATAAGCTCATAGATACAGAGAACAAGTTAGCAGCTGCCAGAAACTGGGGGTGGGGAGTGGTCAAAAGATGGGTGAAAGGTGCAAAAGATAAACATCCACTTATAAAATAAATAAGTCATAGGAACTTAACACACAACATCGTGACTGTAGTTTAGGATAACTACCATACTGCATATTTGAAAGTTGCTAAAAAAAAAAAAAATAGACTTTAAAAGCTGCAGCACAAGAAAAAATAAATTTTTTAATGATATGTGCTGACAGACGGTAACTAATTCATGGTGGTGACCATTTTGCAACATACACCAACACTGAATCATTATGCCATACATCTGAAACTAATAATGTTATATGTCAGTTATATATCAAAAAAGAGACATGCATTCAGATCAAAATAGTAGTAAGACATTTATAATTATTACATTATAAATATAAACCTATAGAAGTTTAATTTATAGAATTAAAGTTTTAAAATTCAATTTATAGCATTAAATCCAGGGACTTATCACCGGTAAGTATTTGCAGAAATAAACTGTGTGTTAACTGTGGTTCAAAGTTGGGACCCATTAAATTTTAAACACATTCAGTAGTTATCACGTATCTAAATCCCTTAAAAATATCCTTTCCAAATATCAAAAAGGTATTCGACCAAGCAATTGAAAATAAACTTATTTTGTTGGAAGAAATACAAATCAAATGTTTAGTAAGTGATACACAAACTTACCCGTAGGTTACCCCAGCAATGCTGCACTTCTTGAAGTTCATGATATTGCAGGTAAGAGTTCCAGTTTTATCAGAAAACAGGTATTTCACCTAAAGCAAAGAATGGGAGAAATGTACAAGACTGTACTAAGATGTAGAGACCAATAAATAGTCTTTCCTTCTCTACTTTTCAAAATCTCTATTAATTTTAAAATGTAAATTTCCTTAAAGCAAATACATTTTATAATTATATATATTAGAATACCTTTTATACTTATACATTAAATATATAAGTGTATTTAGTGCACAGACCACTTAAAAACCTTTTCCACGAACCAAGCCTAGAGTCCAGTTGTGTGGAAATGTGCAAAGGAGGCCTCAGCAACAGCCCTGGGGCCATGTCCATCTCTAGGCAGAAGCACTCAGTCCCGCCACAAGGACACCTATCCCTCTCCGGGAGAGTCCCCCGACCTCACACAGCACCCTGGTCTAAAGGCAACAAGTTCAGACTCAGGCAACCCTCAAAATATGTTTTCTCACTCCACTCCTAATCAGATTAAGCAAGCATATCCTGAAACAATACAGAACATAAAGCTCCTCCATCATAGTCAAGGTTACAAGGACATGAAGGCAGCACAGACCTGCTACAGGTTATGTAAACTTTCTGAGACACAAAGTCTTACAGATTTAATACACGAAGATCTCAATATACAAAGGTGAAAAGAGAAGTTTCTAGAGGTCACAACTGACTGTAAAAGCAATGAGCTCCAAATGCACATGTGCTGTGCAAGTTACGTTCTCTCCAGCAGATCATCTGGTGGGGAAGGGGAAACAGTTCAAGATCACAGAGAGATGGTTGCCCATCTCAGGCTCTGGATACAAACTAGTCCTGTGGACTCTGAAAAAGTCACCTCTTCCGTCTTAGCCCCGATTTCCACATCTATGGAGCACAGAGTATGGCCAGAAGATACAGAACATCTGGGAAATGACGTCATAGACTGGTGAAGGGAGAATAACAGAATCGTCTCCTGTAAGAATTCCAGTTTCTCAGTGGTTTTCCAAAGAGGGGCCATGACTGCTACGGGAGGTACTTCCGGGATCACAAAGGGAAGCCGTGCTTTATACTGGTTTTTTCTGTACCTTTTCTTAGTGATACAATAGAGGCAAATACACTATGAAGTATTTTTAGAGCAATCAAAGGATCTTTAAGTAAAGGAAAATAATTAATGTTCCTAAAGAAGTCAAATATTACCAAGAAATTAAAATTAGTAAAGTATGGGTAATTAACGTTTCAACTATAAATAAGGTTTTTTTAAGTTTACTTATTTATTTTGAAAGAGAGAGACAGTGTGAGTAGGGGAGGGGCAGAGAGGGAGCGAGAGATAGTGGGGGCAGAGCAGAGAGAGAGGCGGGGGAATCTATGCGAGACTCAACTCACAAACCTGAGCCAAAACCAGTCGGTTGAGCATCCCACTCTTGAGCCACGCAGGTGCCCCTATAAACAACTTTTTATATGAAGCCCAGAGGTATAAAAAATTCAGTAGAATCAGCCTTCCAATAAGCAGAGTTTCCTTCTGCCCCCCTTCTTTAAAAATTTAAATATTATATCATGATGTTAAAACTGAAAATTTTCTTGTAAGGAATTATCACAATTTGCTCTCATTCTGCCTATTTTAACTTATCCTGAAGTTCCAAGTCAAAACTACTTGCCCAAGCAAACTTTTCCCATATTCCCAATTGTCAGGAAGAATCATCCTGGGTACAACTTGAACACCTTTAATCCTTCAATCACTGGGATCCAGTTTAAGGAGTCCTGAAAACAATGGTGTACTGAGCACTGTGCCAAACTATGACCAGGCCAACGTAAGACTTCATACGAGGCACATCCACACCCTCGAGTAGACTTGAAAGGCTCAGGACAGAAAGAGACACGACATCGCCATCATGTCTCTCACTGTACTGTGTTTATATGTGGAGAAACTGTCACAGAGACACAGAAGAGAGATTAACCCTACCTGACAAACTGAAAAAGGGTTCAAAGAGGAGGAAAGTTGAATCTGACATACATAGCACCCACCTTACAGGGCTGCGGGGAGGTTAAAATAAGAAGTATTGCGTGAAATTATCATCTTTAACTGCAATGCACTCAGAAGAGGCCATTCCTTGTAGTAATTTCAAGGTATGATGAAGATAAAACGCAAAACACAACTCGTTAAAGGCCACAGGGGTTTCAAGGGTGGGAGCAGAAAAGAAAGTCATTCCCTGGAAGGTTCCAGAAATAAAATCTGAAACCTGTGAGAAATTTAACAGATTTATGTCCTTCAAATTAGTTCCCTCATGTTTTGTAAGGTTACCCAACATCTGCATATCTGAACCATGTTCTTCCCGATCATTTCCTCCTGACAATTTTAATATCCCAAATAATGTTGCAATTTTTTGTGTTAATTTTTTTGTGGGTACCTTCTAGATAATAAAATACATGGATGCCTCAAAAAAATAGGTCAAAACCAACTAACATTTCTATTTAAGACTGTACTTTCAAATGCTATATATATACACACACATACACACACAGCTCTCCAGACATCAAAACCACATTCACAGAGAACTAGTTTTCCAAAACACCTCACAGCTCCAGTGCCGGCCTCCCCAGATGCTGTTGTCACGGCCACCCGAGTCCCAGAGAAGCTCTCACCTGCCCCAGCTCTTCATTAAGGTTTGACGTCCTGGCCATTGCAGGAGTGTCATTTCCGAGATAATACATGTCTGTGTCCTGTGAGAGAGAAGAGGGTGGAGAGGACGTTTTAGAAAATAAATACCATTAATCCTTCACTTAGATTAACACAGAAGAGGGGCGCCTGGCGGGGGGGGGGGGGGGTCAGTCGGTTAAGCGTCTGACTTTAACTCAGGTCATGATCTCACGGTTTGTGGGTTCGAGCCCCGCGCTGGGCTCTGTGCTGACAGCTAGTTCAGAGTCTGGAGCCTGCTTCTGATTCTGTGTCTCCCTCTCTCTCTGCCCCTTCCCTGCTTATGATCTGTCTCTGTCTCTCAAAAATAAATAAATGTTAAATTTTTTTAAAAAAGATTAACACAGAAAAGAGGCTACAACAGATAATATGAATGCTCATTTTTAATTTGGGGGTGGGAAGTACCATGGCCATTACTATAGAGAACACTGTGATATAAGAAAATATGCAATTTACACACAGAAGATTTGGGTTGCAAGATGATCACTGCATGACCTAGTCTGACCCATACTTCTGAGCCAATACCTCATTCACGGGATTGTTGGGAAGAGCCAATAAAAATGCACATGGAGGCGCCCGGTCTGCAAGTACTGGCTGCTCATGTTCATGCTTAATGGCCATGGCAGTTCCTTAAAAATTCCACCCCTACTCTTGCCAGAGAATCCGAGTTGATGGTTACCATGAATTTGATCTATAATGCACAGTACAACAGACACGCCTACGAGCCCCTTCCTTCAGCACTAAATAAGCTGTAAAAGCAGGAACGCATTTGCAGCCATTTCACCCCCACTCGGCACAAGACACGCGCCTGGTACTCACCCAGCTTCCATTATTTCACTTAATCCTCACAAGAACCCACTGATTAGGCTTGGTGCCATTTCACAGACTGGGAGGCTGAGGTGTCAAGTCACCAGTCACTGCCATCACTGGCTCAGGGGTCCCGTGCCAGTTCCCCGGCCAGTTTAAGTCCCAGACCCAGTCACAAATTAACCACGTTCTTCCTTTTCTGGGAGCTCAAGTGAAGGACTGAGGCTCCGAGAGACCGCGAGAAAACAGTGGTCGACACTGCTCCAGTAGCTCAACTTGAAAGCTCTGCTCAGATACTCACCCAGTTTATAAAAAGGGCTTGAGTGTATTTCACGACCTCAAGAGTCACCAACAGACTGATGGGAATAAGATTGTTGTACAAGATGATGAATGTCAACAGGTTATATCCGAAATTATCCGAGGTCGTGTCTGTGGAAGAAAATCAGAGTGTCTGTATAGCTTTAGTTCATCTCCACTCAGTTTCCCTTTAATAGTAAGTAATTTTTCTCCAAGAGGTTCATGGTTTATGTGTAAATTTAGAGATTCGAGTTAAAACGGTGTTTAAGCACCTACTACGTGGCATGAACGGTGTATACAAAGAGTATTAATATAATCCCTTCTACTAAAGAGCTGACGCCTAACAGGAGGTTGGGGGGGTGGTAAGCAGGAGCCAACACGCCCCTCACCGTCCATGCAGCAGGGCACAACCACTGAAGGCGGAATTCACAGGGCGTCACTGACAGCGGGACAGGAAGTCTTCAGTGGGAAGGCACAGTCGCTGAAGGCCATCCCCAACAGAGGCTTTAGTCAAATTTTGGCAGGAAAAGAAGACCACTAACTAAAAAGGATATTAAAAAAAAAAAAAAAAGAAGAAGAAGAAGACCGGCATTTCAATGGCTTTAAGGAAGATCTACAACCTCACTGATAAGGTCAGAGTCTATCTGGGATACCCCCAAAGGGTTTGTAACATACAAAAAGGGTCAAGGGGGCGGACAGAGAGGCCGGAAGGCTGGAGCCGATTTACTGAAGAGAAGAAAACCCTAACAGAGGAGGACCCCTCAGGATGGAACAAGACCGGGAGAGGACAGAATCCGAAGCACAAGTGGGGTCAGTGTGGACAGGAAAATGGACTAGCGGAGGGCAAAGAGGTACAAGGTCTGTATCATCTTTTCCTGGTGACTGTGATCCTCTGGTTGAAGGAAGAAGTGACACGATCTTAACTCGGCTAGAGGTGAGGGAGGGTCGCAGCAGGCTTAAGGTTTGGATTTTAAAATGCCTCTTGAGGGGAACTGGGATTTCTAGAAAGCAAAAGGCTAGGATTGGAGATTAATAATTCGTAAGAACTTCAAACCCCAGTTGAGTTTTTCCTCCAGGAAATTAGTCAATTGGTGGTGGTTTGACTCAGCTTTAGAGGCCTCCAGGGCAGTTGTGACGGCAAAGTAAAGGGCTGGTCAAGGGTACCCGGGAGGAGGCTCACGCTGGCCGCTGGCCGGTGGTTTTTACCTTCACGCCATCCCCTCAGTTTCTTCTCACCTACCAAGGCTTCCTTTTTTCCTGCCAATTGCTCCTTCTCTAACATGTCACTCTGTTCTCTTGCTCTTTTGAATTAAGTAGTCGCTAAACAGCATCTCTCAAGTACCAACAGTTAACACATGTCCCTGAGGTTTAATTTGCTTAGGGATATCCGTAGGGATATCTGCCAGTTAGAATCATGTATGATGAAATTTAAAATTTCAGCTTTCAATACCGGCCAAAAATCGCTTTGTATCATCACATATAGGGTCAATAAGTAGAGTACATTCAGGGAAGACCCTATGCATACAAGTTCATTCAGCCCAACAAAAACAAGTGGATGGGAGCGAGGACAGGATCTGAGAGAAGCTGAAGTCAAAGCTTCAAGTCTGACCATGCAAATGTGAAGTCTGATGGCTTGTGCCAGAGCCACTCCGACTTTCCATAGGGAAACGAAGTAGAGAGCCTCATGGGTGGGACAAAAAGACCATCCTTCCACCATAAATCATGCAACTAGTACTGGAGTTTGACATCAGGCTATTTATTTACTTTTGCGTTTATTTGTTTTACGGGGGAGGGGCAGAGACAGAGGGAAACGCAGAATCCAAAGCAGGGTCCAGGCTCCAATCTGTCAGCCCAGAGTCCAATGTGAAGCTCGATCTCACAAACCACGAGATCATGACCTGAGTCAAAGCTGGACGCTTAACCAACTAAGCCACCCAGACGCTCTGACATTAGGCGACCTACATGCCAGTTTCCACAAATCCTGTATACCAAGATGGTGGCCAATGCGGTTTATTTACCCAGATCATGACATTTTGAAACTATGTACAGAAAGTATCAGTCTGCGTATTTGAGGCTAGACATACAATAAAAAGTCCAAATCCAAATTTTAAGAACCAAAACCAAGGGCTTTGATCCAACCTACAGCTCAAGTCCTGGTCATATTTGTAAAAGTGGCAATAGTTCTCCTGAGCAGTTAAAAGGGTTTAATTTTTCTGTGTGAGATAATCAGAGAAAGAAAAAACTGTTTTCACAGTTTAACCAAAATATATTTAAGGACAGGAACAACAAAAACTTCAAGAAAAGATTCTAAAGTGTTAAAATTCAAATTTAGCTCTCAAAATATTTTGTCATTAAATCGTCTTCTGGAATTGCTGTGTAAGACTGGCAAATGTCTCAAAACCGGAAGCAACAGAACTGGACAAAATTGTCAAAAACAAGTATTTAAAGTGCTTGGAAATTAATCACAGTGCATACAAAAAAAAAAAAATTCCAAAGCCTGTGTTTAAAAAGATCTACTTAATCTAAGTGGGAACCTAAAGCATTTAAGTCAGAGGCTATTTCCTGCTCCTTTCCCCTTAAGCCATGATGCTTAAGTTCTGTTCAGACTGGGTAGGTGGGACTCACGGCTCTGATGCCCCCCAACCCCAGCTCCATGTTGCAGCAACTCTGTCCCAGGGTGAGGCAGGCTGCTGCCCCAGAGGAAGGCATGTTTTCAGGACAGGAATAGCCTGAGGAAGAGGTCACTGTTTGGAACACAGCATGAAGAACGGCCATGCCGAGGGCACTGCCAAAAATACTATTAGCCACGGGGGTCTCTAATCAGGGAAGCCTTGTATCTCCCGGTACCAGGAGCAGCAAGCCAAACAGAAGACTAGTCAGAAATGAAACAGGGAGAGCTGTGGAAATAAATGACCAAACCAACCTTGGAAAGATCATACTCAGCCCTGGTGGGTCCAGACAATCACGTCGATGCGCAAAGCCGCACTTGCTTAGGAGAGACTTGGGAACTACTTTTCCCTGACAGAATATGGTCAGACTTTAAAGTCCCCAAACACTGAAGGTATTCCATAGCCACACACAGATCAAACAGCAAAGGGGTTTTATTAGCATGACCCTACTATCTCAAGGTGTTAAAGCACAACCTCTGACCAATCACATGCTGACCTTAAGAATCCAGGCTTCAAAGTAAATACAGAAAGAGTGATTGCTATTGAGGACAGAGTTTTTTTTCTGCTGTGATGAAAACATCCTAACGTAAAGGTGGCACAAATATGAATATACTAAAAATCTCTATATAGCTTAAACCATGTTTTTAAAGTATTAAAAAAGTAAAAACATGGGGGGCAGTGGGGGCCTGGGTAGCTCAGTCAGTGAAGCAGCCGACTTAGGCTCAGGTCATGATCTCGTGGTTCGTGAGTTCAAGCCCTGCGTCAGGCTCTGTGCTGACAGCTCGGAGCCTGGAGGCTGCTTCAGATTCTGTGTCTCCCTCTGCCCCTCTCCCACTCACACTCTGTGTGTGTGTGTCTCTCTCTCTCAAAAATACACATTAAAGAAGTGAAAACATGGAACTAAACCTGAGCAGTAAGTAACCACAGAGACTATATACTGCAGGAGAAAACACTTTACAGAATTCTTCCAGGAAAATCACTGAACAGGAAAATAAAAAACAGCAACAAGCCCCAGGAGGGAGAGAAAGCCATCCTGAATTGCCGCAACACATTACCTAAAGTGCCCAGTTTTCAACAACAAAAAATAGGAAACAAAGAAAGAAAAAAAGCAATGCCTCTGAGGGGGACCCAAATGATGAACCAAAGACTTCAAAGAAGCTATTATAAAGAACCAAAAAACTGTTTAAAGAATTAAAAGAAAGTATGATGACAGTGACTGATCAGAAAACATCGATAAAGAGATAAAAGAACCAAATGCTAATTCTGAAACTGAAAAGTCTGATCGTTGAAATGAAAAAAAAAAAAAAAACCCACCATGAAGCTGAGCAGGAGATGAGAGGCAGCAGAAGACAATAACAGACAAACCTGAGTATAGATCAATAGACATTCCCCAATTTGAAGAACAGAAAGAAAACAGAGTAAGAAACATTAACAGAGCCTAAGGCCACATCGTGTGGACCAACATGTACATAATGGAATTACCAGAAAGATAAGGAAATGAATATGTAGCAGAAACAATGCTTGAATTAACAGTAGCTAAAAACTCCCCAAACTTGATGAAAAAGATTAAAGGACACATCCAAAAAGCTTACAGACACCAAATAAAATAAACTCAAAATTATCGAAAACCCAGGACAATTTTGAAAGCAGCAACAGGAAAGTGACTCCCATGCAAGGAGAAACTTAGTAAGATTAACAGCTGACTTCTCATCAGTACAAGGGAGGCCAGAAGGCAGTGGGATGCCATATGCAAAGTACTGAAAGGAAAAGAACATCAAGCCAAGAACTCTACAAGAATCCTGGATCAGCAAAACTACGCTTCAAAAACAAAGGATAAACTAATACATTCCAAGAGAAAAACAGATAATTTGGTGCTGTCCAATCTGCCTTACAAGAAACACCAATAAAAATTCCCCGAGATGAAAGGAAGTGACACCAGACAGGAATTAAATCCATGTAAACAAAGGATATCAGTAAAAGTAATTACACAGGTACTTCTTTTTATTCTTTCTCTTGGATTTAAAAAAACATGACAAAATGACTATAAAATTGCATTGCTGGACTTCTACAGAAATGTAACATGACATCGCAAAGGAACGTGAGGATGAAGCTACATGAAGCAAAGAAAAAACACGAGCTGGTAACTCAAATCTACAGGGAGAAATAAAGGATACGAGAAATTGTAAATAAGTAGGTTAATGAAAAACAACTCTATTTTTTTCTTTTCACTTAATAGACATTAGATTACATAAAGCAACAACTATAACTATGTATTACTGGGTTGATAACACAGACATAATTTATATGATAATAGCACAAAGCAGGGGAAGAAATGAATCTATACTGGTGTAAAACTTCTGTATTTTACTGGAATTAAGTGAGTATTAATCGGACACAGATGTTGATAAACTAAGACATGTATTGTAATCTCTAAGAGCAACCACTAATAACTAAAAAAAAAAAAAATAGTCAAAACCATTTGAATGTAAAACAATCCCCAGATGTGTTCATCTTCATTTCATCACAAGCTTCCTAGTCTTTCAGGAAGGCTGGCCTTACAGCCACAAGAATGAAGGATGGCATGGCCACCCACGTAAACCGGCTTGAAAGGAGTTTCCAAAACTGGTTCACTACTACTTTAACGAGCACTTACCCATCTTCTTGATGTACCAGTCCCTTCCTCCTTGCGACCCACTCCAGTACAGGGCCCCCACTGAGCTCACCAAGGCCATGACGAGGAGGATGCCAAACAACACCAGGATCTGCACATTGGTCACCTTCTCAACATTCGATCTTTTGAGAGGTGCTTTTGTGGAATTCTGTACAAGAGCATTGAAGATCAGTGAGTCACAGAACAGGCTGGGGTTAAGGAGTGGGGAGAAAAGGAGGTAAATTAACCAAATTCAACAAAAAGTAAAAGACTGCATTTTTTCCCAATAACCAGTGAAATTAAAAAGCGCACTGCACCCCTGAATCGACAAGTAGTTTGAAATGAAGAACACATTTCAACTCTTCATGAGTCAATCTGTACTTAAGATTACACTTTAGTATAAAATTGGCTACTTTTGCAATCTTAGAAAACAAGTTCTAAATCATTTACATTCAGTTTAAATCAGGATGTTACTAATTCAAGAGAAGCTTAAAGATTCTGCGCTGTAAGGGTCTAGAGTGAATCTTCAAAGTAATATAGCTCTATAATTAAAATACAAAGAACTATTTTTGAAGGATCTACTTCCCCCTCAAAATTGAGGGGGGAAAAAAGACACACACAAAAACACAGACATCAAAAATAGGTGTTGACATGAATAGCTGTCACAATGAATGGACAAAGGGCTCCTTTGGAAAATTGAACAAGAAACAAACAGGTACATCAGGAAAACTCTAGTGGCCGTCAGAAATCTGAGTGGAGTTTTGAATTAGAAACAAAATGGAGACAGGAAAGGAAAACAAAAATGGACAACAGACTAACCATCAATCAACATCTATGGTCTGCTCTCTGACCACCACTGGAGACACCATCCAGCTCAAACAGAAGCCAGTGTTGGCAAGTGAGTTTAGAAAGATTCATTAAAGCCAGATTCAAGGACCCCTGCCTATCAGGGGGAAAATTTGGGACATCCTCTTAGCACTGAAGAGTCAGGAGAACTGCGTACACTAGACAGTCATGCACCTGACGTCATCTTACTAAAAATTCTGATTGTAATTGCAGTGGGCTTTAAATAATGAATGGTTCACTAATGATGTCCATGCCCTAATACCTTGACCCTGTAAATATGTTGTTTGATGTGATAAAAGGGGCTCTGGATATAATTAAATTAAGGATAGATTTGGGGAGATCATCTTGGATTCGCCAAGTTGGTCACTTTAATCACATGGGCCCTAAAAACACAACATGAAGAGATCCTTTCCTGGCTACAGTCAGAGGGAGACACAAGAATGGCCCAAGACATACAGTACTGCCACCTTTAACCTTGAAAAAAGGGGTCATGAACTAACGAATTCAAACAGCCTCTAGAAGGCTGGAAAGAGCAAGGAAAAGAGTCTCCTCTAGAACCTCCTGGAGTGTTCTAGAAAGGAATGCCGTCCATCAGGCGTCGTGACATGGGTGAGACCCATATCAGACTTCTGACCTGCAGAACTGTGACATGACGACCTCGCATTGTTCTAAGCTGAGTTCGCACAATTTGTTATGGCACTGGTAGGAAACAGTGAGAATAACCCAGGAGATGGTAAACTTCCATCCCTGGAGGGGAGCAGCGCCTGGGTTAAATCAGACGCCAGGAACTGGACAGGGGGAGGTCTCCCTCCAGGAGTCACGAGCCTGGTTTCTCAAGTGGAAACACAGAAACACGGATTTGCAAAAATCAGGTGAATGAAAGCTTGAAAGGCACTCACTGGCCATAAAAATGGTGCCTTCTTCAAAACTCAAGTCCTGACTCTTCACTCTTTTTCACTCATCTGATCATTAAAAGAGCGAAGATGAATAGGTCTCCAGAAATAAGAATATGAAATAAAGTCACAACATAAAAATAAAACCAAGATGAAAACAGAGCAATCCATCCCTACATTCTCTCGATAATATTGTACCACTGCATTGCTGAAACTGTCACCAAACCCACAAATGGGGTCATGACCTCATTTCCCATAGGGGTGGGGAGGTGGGGAATGGTTTTACTGGCAATTTTGAAGTGTTTAAGTATTTAAACAGCCCAGCACCATTTTCCTTTATATTCTCTTTTCTCCCTTTCACTCCAGTTCTCTGAATGATTTGTCCTTTACAGCCTTTTTTTTTTTTTTATGTTTATTTTATGGGGCACCTGGGTGGCTCAGTCTGTTAAGCTTCTGACTTCAGCTCAGGTCATGATCTCACGGTTCATGGGTTCAAGCCCCACACTGGGCTCTTGGTGACAGCTCCAGGCCCGGAGCCTGCTTCGGATTCTGTGTCTCTCTTTCTCTGCCCCTCCCCTGCTCACATGCATGCACACGTGCACGCACTCTCAAAAATAAATAAATGTTATAAAAAAGAATTTTAAATCTTTATTATATTTTTGAGAGAGAGAATGAGTGGGGAGGGACACAGAGATCGGGAGAGATAGAATCCAAAGCAGACCCCATGCTTAGCATGGAGCATGATACACAGCTGGATCCCACAACTGTGAGACGGTGCCCTGAGCTGAAATCAAGTCGGAGGCTTAGCCAACTGAGCCACCTAGGAACCCCTGTCCTTTACAGACTTTTTAAAAACAATCCTTTAGGATCTAAATGGAAATCTATTAGTGAAGGTGGACCCATCAACAATCAAATCCCCGTCTCCAGGTTGATGGGGACAACGTATCTCTTCTGGTCTTCTGGAAAGAGCCAAGAGACCAGTTCCAAGACTGCCTAGCCCCATCTTCCAAAACTCATGATCCTGTCCTTTTTTTTTTTAATATTTTTTAGAGAGAGAGCGCACACAAGTGGGGTAGGGGCAGAGAGGGAGACACAGAATCCGAAGGAGGCTCCAGGCTCCAAGCAGTCAGCACAGACCAACTCATGAGCAGGGAGATCGTAACCTGAGCCGAAGTCAGATGCTTAAGCAACTGAGCCACCCAGGCACCCCAAGACCTTATCATTTTTAACAAACATTCACAGGAGGCACAGGGAGAAAAAATTATAACAACCATCATTTCTATGACTCCATTAATTTACTGGTTTCTGATCTTTTCCAATTGTTGAGTCCTGGCCAGTTAACAGGGTTAGGAAAGTTAGCCTTTGTCCAGTATTAGAGCCCAAATGTACTTTGTGGAGAGCCCAGCTCTGCCTACTCAGTCCCATTGCCTGAACATTCCAACTTGCAGTGATGAGCTTGTAAATTCTGACTAGCATTCTAAATTCTTCTATGAAATTCTTGGAAACACCGCTACTTTTGAGTAATGGGGTTCTTTAATAGAAACAAACCAAAATGTCAGTTTGAAAAAGCTTCTGATCTGACCTAAATTTTACACATTTTCTTCTCTCCTAAGAAAGTAGTCAACAGAGCAACTAGTGAGAACATGCACTCAGGAGCCAGACTGCCTGAGTTTGAATCCCAACTCTCCCTCTTATAATTTTGGTAACTTAGACACTCCGTCTCAGTCTCATCCAGAAAATGGGCACGATAATAGTATCTTCCTCATAGGGCCATTACAAGGAATAACTGAGTTACTACACGCAAAATGCTTAGAACAATGCATGAAAGCACTAATATTTGCTGTAATTAATGTGATACTTCTTTACCATTAAATCAACCAACAGAAACTATAATATTGACAATATTTCCACATGTAACTACACTGAACTTGAAGCAAGGAAACTTTGATTTCCAGCTACAGGTGTTCTATTATATTCTACCTAAAAGCTCATTATTTTTAGTTGCTGTTTCTGTCCTCAAGGCACAGTGAGATTCTGGGGCTTTCCATCATTGCATAGTCGAACAGTCAACATGGAACAAGCCTTGCATGGGTTTATCACATGTAGGTGCAATGGGAACTGCCCATCTCACGAGATGCAATCGTCATGAGGCAACTTTGTGCACACCTTGCTCACTAACAAGATGATGGGATCATTTTTAGGCATAACTGAATTATCTCTAACACCTTAGCTACTAAGCTATACTACCAAGGTCACCCTGAAAAAACCACCAGTATACCAGGAATCCTGGAGAGTGCGGACATTTCTAACATGCAGAGTCTAAAAACCCCACCCAAATTTGAGCTCTTTGTCACCTCTGTCATGTCATCATCAAAACATAAGTGATCTGGTTAGTGGAGCTCCACGTGTTAGGCATTGTTGCTGATGCTGCACTCAGAAGCCAGAGAGCTCTCGCTAAGTAGCAGCGCACTGGATGATTCATCAAGATAAAGTCTCCAGATAGAGGCTGCTCAGAACCAACAAACTTTAAATGTTCTCGTCAGCCCTGAACTGGTGAGGACCTAGCAGGAGGGACACATGAGACACATCTCAGATACACCAAATAATCGTGAGCCACCCGAGAAGGGCCTCGGTTCGCCAACTCTTCATTCCTGGAGCTGCCGCGGACCCCCACCCTCTCACACCCACTCCCTCTGGAGCCCTTCCACCGTTCCGACACACCAAACCCTCACGGGACCAAACCTTCTGTGTCCTCCTCCCCCTTTGGGAGCCTTCCTCACCCGGGTGAGGGCGCTCCTTCCCTGAAGCTCCTCGGAGGGTGCTCCACTGAAGACTCACATGGCCTTGGCTGGTAGGACTTCTGAGGCTTTACGCCTCCAGTGCCAAGTGACAACACTCACCCGTGATGTCCATGCCACTTGGCTACACGCCTTCTGCCTCTCCCCTCGGCAAGCCCACCAACCTCTCAGCCATGCCCCTCACACTCCAAAGAAGTGAGCAGTTGGCTTAAGGTATCCATCTTGGTCCCAGGGCCGCCATCATCCTGTCGTCACAATCACAGTGCCAACCACCAGATGCGTGGCCTCTCAGCCCTCTATCTCCCAGCCTCCCACAGCTCTACCGCTAGCCTCCTCCTCCCCTGGCTCACTCTCGGGTCTCTCCACCCAAGAAACCCCAAGACACTGATCAGCCTGCCGCGCAGCAACTGCAGCAGCCTTCAAACTGCACAAGACTCTGAGGCTTCTTCATGCTCACCCTGTCCCTGACCCCCACCCTCCATTGTATTTCTCAGCTGCAGCGGACATGGGCTCTATCACTCCGTCTGTCTGTTCTAATCAGCAGCTAAGTCTCTCATCTTCCATCATCCGACTTAAAACAGTGGGCCAACACTGTTAAGAGCCCCCCACCTCACCCCCACTCTCTAATTCTCCGTCTCAAGTGTACTTTCAGTATCCAGTCAACTCCCCACCCCCACCCCCCACCCCATCCCAGGTCGCCTGGCCCTTCTGTAGACACCTACAGCACTTTATCGCTCTTTATCGCTATGGTACTTCCCCACTACTCCTTAGGCCACGTGGTTCCCAGAGGGTGAGCAGGGCCTTTCACTACTGTATCCATACAGCCTAATTTAAAACTTGGTGCACAGTGGTCACTAAATATTTTTGAAGAAATACAGTCAAATATATGCTTTGGAAGTGAAACACAAGAGCAGCCAAGGCAAAAAGCCTTTTCTCATGAACAGTAACCATTAGCAAAATAAGATGCCAACGATACCAAAGAAATATAAGAAATGACACATCAGGACACTGATTTATACAGAATTTCACAACCTGTCTGGCACAACACATCAGGATGTAAATGTAGGCTGCTTCAAATTCACAAATGATAATTTAACAAGCATTATCAAGGAGAAAGAGCAGAAGCATTTTAACTTCATATTTTTGGTGTATGAAGAACAAACATTAATTCAAAGTAACTGACTTTAAATTGCCAAGGATTTGATTAAAAGGACTATTTACTAGAAATCCTCATTCGTGGGATGAGGAAGAGAAGTAGAGAAATAAAGAAGTTAGAATGAATCCCCACTCAAGTGCAGAACATAAAATGAGTTAGAACTGATTGTCCCCCTCCATCTGGAAAACAAAGACCACTGATATTTCAAGCAAGAGATAATAAACATGCGATACAATCACAGAAATCCAGGAAAAACTACCCAAGGAACCAGAAATAAAGGTACACCCTTTCCAAATTTAGGTCACAGACAAACTTGAGCTTCCTCAATGCAAAACGTGCATCTGTACTCTCTACTCTCTAAAAATGGAAAGAAAAAAATAAATTCTAAAATCAGCATTGTTTTTCAGCAGAGAAATGTTTTACCTGCATGAGTTTGGTGTCGTGTCCAGTATAAACAACTATGCCAAAGACCCACTGAGTGTTTCTAAGCTGTGTACCTCTTAATAAGATCTGGTCGGGCCCAAGGGGAACAGGGCTAAAAATAAGAAACAACATTTATATTTAATGATAGTTTGACAAAGGAGCATGAGCTTTTCCCTTAAACATAAACCCACAATTAGTCTATTAGTTTGATTATTTTAGTCAAATTTGTACTTCACTGAGACACAGGGGCAATAAAGGTTACCATTGCCTTAATCTACAAAAAGTTTCATCCTATCCATTCATCACTACAAGAAAAACATATATTGTTTTTCTTATAAAATGTTAGAGGGAATTGTGTTCTCTTATAACCCAGTTATGAAACTCTACACCCAATAAGGAAATTGCTAAAATAACCAGAAGCTTATTCATTTGGAAAACCCAGTTTATTTCATAGACTATTAGCAGAAAAAAAAAGAAGAAAAAAGCAATAGAGCTATAATATCAAATTTGTCAAGGGTGACTTAACGGTTAAATAAGGGACAGAGTGATAATTTAGAAATTCAAAATGGGGATATGCAATACAGAATGGTTCTGCATACTAATTGAAAACCAAGAAAGCAGTCACAGCTGTCATGGTTATTTTGGGTTGATTCCCATGATCAGGTCCTTCCCTTTGGGTCTGTTCAAAATATAAAAGTGGGAAGCATGGATAAGGAGCATGCAGATTAAAGATGGGCAGAAGGGGGGAACTGCACCCCAACATAAGGACAAAAATGACTCTCCAACAAACAAATGCCAAGAGGACAAAGACAACAGAATTCAGACAACAGGGCAGTGAATGTTCTAAAGGATGAGGAATTGCTTTTCCTTCCACTCAACTTAATAAACACAAACGCTACTTAGAAGAATGCTAGCCTAAAAAAACAAAAGGATGTTTCTCTAACAAACAGGTTAGCTCTTTTACACCTCAATGGTTTCTCTTCTGCTTTTCTGAACAATTTTACGCAGCCCAAACCATCTCTCCTCCTTGGCAGGTAATACAGAAAAACAGCCTGTGCCCGTTAACCTCACTTCAGACCCTCAGGCTGCTTTTCTTGACAAAAATCAGTTCTTTCCCTAAATTTAAGGGAAGGTTTATATTGACCGAAATGGTGCTTTGGGAAAAGCTCAGTCTCTCAAATTGAAGCTAAACCTACAAAATCTCATGGTTTTAAAATATTATGAAATCAAAAAACAAACTGTTTGAAATGGAGCTTTGGAAACCAGTAAAAAACAAAAACACAAAAATAAAAGCCAAGCAAAGCGAAAAGTGATACCTTTTCCCATCTACGTGCAAGTTTCCAGTGAAGTCATAGAGGTGGCGGTTGGGTCCCTCACATTCTATAGTTCCAGATAACTTCATCAACACTTCTCTTGTTTGCATGTCAGCAGTGTGACTCAGCCCCTAAAATGAGGAAATTGAATACAGTCTTCCAGGTTTAGGGACAGCATTCAGTAACCCAACTGTTAATCCAAAAGAAATTATCAATCATCTAAAATGGAATAACCGGGGAGGCTAAATCAAACTACCAGCCCCTCAAGATAGACTTTACAGGCAGCCTGTGCCACAGCAACCTAATGCAAAAGTTTCCAAAGATTTCAATGAGGTGCAAAGTTAAGATTCTACCACTGAGCAGGGAACATCCATGTTCAAGAAACCACGTACTCAAACACCTTACAGAGTGCACAGTCCATTAGTTCTATTTTAAAACACAAGTCCAAAAAAACAGAATAAAGCACCCTTTTAATATAGTATTATATTAGTATCATACCTAGCACTTAGCAACTCTTCTTTAAACGAAAAAAAAAAAAAAAAAACCTACCTAAATCAAATCTCTAAAATGGAAAAGAAAGATAGGTGGACAGAATTATCAAAGTCAACTTAATGCAGCAGAACATTTACATGTCAAATGCTTGCAAATCGTATTCTATTAAAGACCATTTTTCATTCTAGAATTAAAATATACGGTAAGAGCAGTTTTAAGGCACAGAAATTTCATATCTAATATAGAACTCTCGAGAATTAAAGTCTCAGTTAAAACAACAGTGTAAAGTGAGGTACCCAGAGCTTGTCTACTGCACCTCTCCACACAGATGATCCCCTTTCCACCACGTGACTCAACCTAGCTGACAGGAGGTCTTTCCATCTGCACTAACAGGCATACATTTAAGACCTAAATTAAGGCAAGATCCCCTTCGTGACTCATACTTGGATGAAGCTCACTATTTTAATTCTGCTGTCACTCTCAAGATGTTCCCTTCATAATAAAAGCCACATTCTTCCCATGGTGTTTTTTTTTTTTTGTTTTAATGTTTATTTTCTTCTGGGGGGTAAGAGGGAAGGGCAGAGAGGGAGGGAGACACGAGATTTGAAGCAGGCTCCAGGCTCCGAGCTGTCAACACAGAGCCCCACGTGGGGCTCGATCCCACAAACCGTGAGATCATGACCTGAGACGAAGTCGGACGCTCAACCAACTGAGCCACCCAAGCAGCCCCCATGGGTTCTTTATTTTTTTTCTCTCTAGGAAAAGCACTGACTGGTACAGAGGGCCAATTTTGCACTTTGAGTCTCCAGAACAACACAAGTCATAAAAGGTAACTTTACCTGACGTATTTTAAGGTTCGTCTCCCCATCTAGATTAGCGGTTTCAACATAACACATCGCCTGAGGTTCACTATGGAGAGAGAGAGATTTAAAAAGCCAAAGGTTAGGAAGATCCCTTCCACAAATTCCCAGATCATAAAGTCAACTACTGGAAATGGTGTCTGCCTGACTGGCCCTTCAACCACTTCAGGAGTAACTGACCTGAAAGACCCTCCTCTTTGGGGCTCAACACCAATCTGAAGTTGTCTGCCCAATTACCCACTGTAACGGGCCCACATAATGGCCGCTTGACCTTAAGTAGCAGAAATAAGTAAAGCAGGATGAGGAGGGGTCACAGGAAACACAAGATGTCCCAGTTAAGACCCAACCACTGTGTTTGGATCACACTTAAGAGTCTGAGACACAGCCTGCTCCTGACCAAGAGAGCAGCTCTTGTAGCCGGTACAAAGACATTTTTAGAAGAACGCTGCAGCCACAGTTGAGGAATCAAGACACACGCTTGGCAAGCCTTTTCTTCCCCGCACCTTTTACTATGTCAACAGGGAAATGATCTGTCAAAACACCTACTTTTAAGGACAGAACACATGAAGAATAACCTTAAGCATGGCAGATACCTTATTCGTACTGCTAATCATACTTAGAGGTTACGAGAAGGGAACCTGCAAGCCACTGGCTACGTCCAAATCTCCCCCTGCTACCTTGGTGGTGTGTGTGGACTTGGAAGTTATTCAATCTCGGTTTCTGTTTTCTCATGTAAGAAGCAGGGTTACCAAGGGTTTGGGGGAAGATTAAATGTCCCAACATACTCAGCGGACAGTTTAGCCAATGTACAGGCTCAGACACTAGTGAGCAGCCTCAGAACACGTTATCGGCTGGGAAAAGCTCCCATTAAAACCAGGATTTCTGAGGGTTACAATGAAAACTCACGCCCCAAACTGTCAAATGATCCACGTTTCACTGCTTCTGCTGTTACTCGTCAATAGGGACAAATGTGAATCCCGTCTTATGTATATGGTCTTTTTCCTCCTCTAGAGACCTAGGGACCGTATTTTCACACCTTTTAGCTCCAGCAGAAAATTCTTGCTAAGGCTTGAAATCCAGTATGTGATCAAGTCCACTAAAAGCAACACTGTCTGGAGTCAAAGACAATGCAAACAGTAGGATTGTCTAGGGTTCCCAAGAGCACATAAATACAGGCAGTTTTAGTCTCCTGATAGAATTTAATCTTCGACTCATGAGAACAAGTTTATGCACATCCTAATGTTAGCATTCCTTCTCTGATATACACTTTTATGTATCAAGCCAAGGAAAAGTCAAGGACTACACGGTCCAGTTTCCACGTCACTTGGTGGTGATACTTTTTCAGCACAAAACTACCTGGAGAACATGGCGATGGCATTGGGGAGAAAAGGGGGGACAGAACACGGACAAATGAAGAGGCAACACCATCCGCAGGTCACGGCTATGCTGCTAAAATGGCCCAGATCTCTGAACAGCTGGTCAAGGAGGCCCCGGCTTCCACGCGAAGACTCCTGGCTGGAGCCAGCAGGAGACTGGTTCTCAAGTCTCAGATGCTGCAAGCTGGGTGCTACCGAAGGAATCACCCCGCTGCTCTGGAAGGTTTCCAGTGAATGAGGAATAGCCCACAACAGCGAGGAGACTAAAATGAATCAATAAACGTAATAGAGTTTGACAAAAAGCCCAAGAGAATGAATGGGAGAAAGAAAACAGGATCAGCGCAGGGGGATAAAGGCAAATGACAAGTAACAGAAGACCAGGCCAGCGAGGGAAGGCGGGGCCTTGGGGGGGGGGGGTGGCTTGTGACTCCCACAGTCACCATTTAATGCTTTACTGTTCTTAACATTTATTTCAAAAACATGCTCCCATGAGCACAGCTGACCTGGAGGAGAGGAGGGCCATGTCTGCTGGGAGATACTGCCCATTGACGACCTTCACAATGTCTCCCACCGCCACCTAGAAAGCCAGGGACAGGGACAGAGGAGCATGAAAGACAAGAAAGCACAAACATTGATTAAGGTGGTTAAATATTTGAAGAAAACACTCCTATGTAATTATGCCATGAAATCTAAGACACAAGCCCAGATTATGTTCCTTGACAAGAAGGACAATTTTTCAATACAAATGGGAATATGGCTTCTTGCAGTGGATGCTGAATGAAAAAGGGAAAAAAACCAGAAAGGGAGAGTAAGAAGACAGAGGAGTCAGAACAATTACCAAGGTCTCATTTTCTCACGATTATTACATCCAGCTGCAAATTCCACCCCTGAACTCTAGAACCATCCCACAGCTATACACAGTAGGGGAGGGCGGCTGAGCGCACAGCTCCAGAGCCGGCCTGAATGCTGGGCTCAAACCTCCCAGCCGGACTCCCAGGCGATCCCTTCCGAATTCTGGCAAGCATGTAAACTCTGTGCGCATCTAAGTATGTAACGAGGTTGATAGCACATACTTCAGGGGGCTATTTTAAGGCTCAACAGAGTTAACACACACAGATTTTCTCCATTTTGCAAATGGGGAAGTTGAGGCTCAAAGAGGCGTAACTTGATCAACATCACACAGCCAATGATGGTTAGACACAAGATTCAAAACCATGCAACTGGCCAGTGGTCTGATTACAAGGCAATACTAAATTCACCCATGAACAGTGCATCTGAAAGGTCCCCTGGACACATACCACGTAAAATGGGTAAGATTGGTGTAGCCTCACTTGCCAAAAAAACAGTCACAGTCAAAGTCAGAGACCATTCTAGGAAACAGACTCCACCAGACAGAAGACCCCAAGATAAGGAAACAGGCCCTAATCTGCCAAATGTGGGCACCGTGGCCGACAGTTTGTAAATCCTTTAAATAAGGTCACAGAAGCACCCAGCTACGTAGAATGTGGGCTTGTGAGTCAGCAGACCTAGGCTCAAATCTGAGTTTCACCGACACACTAGATACACAAGATCTTGAAGGCAAGCTCTTCACCTCTCTGAGCTCCGGCATCTTCACTTAAAAATGGGGAAAGACCAACACTTAGCGTATACCACCATTCAGGAAGAATATGCGAGCACTTGGCCTGAAACACGCACGTGCTAAGCGCTAGTGCCTGCCAGCAGGAGCGTCACCAAATGAACACTGGAGTGTGAAAGTCAGAGCGGCCGCGACTCTGACAGCACCAGGACGAAGGCTGTTCTCAGCACACAAATAATAAATTCAAAATGCCAAATGGGCACTCTGTCCTGGTTCGTATTCTAACACACATTCCTGTTCTCTTAGAAATTAAGGATTTCAACTGGAATGGCTATGAAAGGAATACTTAGGACAGTTACAGGATCTCACCGGCTGGGAGAATGGCCCCAGCAGGTGCCTGCATTTAACTTTCTAGGAGGAGAAAGGAGGGTTTGCTAAACAGGTGTCCCACCCGTGCTTTGATTCACTTATCAAAGCATGTCAAGTAAGGAATCGGGCTCAATATAGGGAATGGTGGTAAAAGTGAAGTTCCAGACCCATTGTGTATCAACCTAACGGCCAAGGGCAGGCGTGTAAGTATACTCCATATTCCATAATAAAGAGAGTATCAAAGAACAGACAATACAGAGCTATCGCAACAACCATCAGTACAAAGGCAAGGAACGGTTATGAAAATTGAAAGGGGTTTTAAATATACATTTTATGTGAAGAGTTTAATTGCATAGGAAAATTCAGAAGGAGCCATTAGTTAAAAACCAGAAGGGAACTTGGTCACGTTTTCCTAAGAAAAAAGGCAGTGGACTTTTTGTTGATCCAGTGGAAGGGAGGCAAATTTGTATCCCAGTGACAAAGTACTAAGAAGTTTCATGCGCATGAAAAACTTAGCTGGAAATGTGTTTGAAAATGGTTTTCAGTTTGGCGTTTGAGCGTGTGAAAGTACCCAGAATGGGAATTCTTAAGGCGAGAAAGAGCCCCCTCTGTGTCCCTGAACCCACTCGAGCCCCAGAGAATTTCTCAGGTTTCTTATTTTGGAAGGATAAGCTCAGAGGTCCACTCAAGTCACCAAACCTATGGAGATGCACCAAAGAGTGCTCACTACTCAGCTACAGCCCAGGGGCTTGCCGACTCCAGCTTTTCCACTTCAGATGCGAGTTTTATCGCTCTGGGAAGCTTAAAGACAGCCAAGTCCACCTTGCCGAACATCTCTGGTGTTTGGTACCTCTGACCGCCTGTGTTCTCCCATATTCTCATCCTCATTCTGAGCCACCATGCGGATGCGCCCGCCTTTCCTGCCCACACCCCTCAGACTTCTACCCACCTCCCTCTGTCCTGAAGAGCATTTCCCTCTTAAAATCATTACCTCTCATTCACCCTCCAAAAGAACACCAGGACATCACGTGTGGGAAGCCTTTGCTCTCTGAACTGATGGACCAGTGGTCCCCCCGTGTGTCCAGCAAGCACCTGAAGCACGCCCAGCATGCGCACTGCGTTCCATTCAGCTGTCTGCCACTCTCGCTACCCCAGGGGCCCCGAGGCAGCAGAAGCCTCCCCTGGGATCTTGTTACAAATGCAAAAGCAGCTTCTCAAGGCCAGGGGCCATGCTTTATTCTTATTTGCATCCCCAGGGCCTAACATGATCTCTGGTGCATGCTCTGAGGTCCATTTAAACAAGCAAAAGTAGGGGCACCTGGGGGGCTCAATCGGTTGGGCATCCAACTTCAACTCTGGTCCTGATCTCAAGGCTCATGGGTTCGAGCCCCGCGTCGGGCTCTGTGCCGTCAGCTAGCTCAGAGCCTAGAGCCTGCTTCAGATTCTGTCTCCTTCTCTCTCTGACCCTCCCCTGCTCATGCTGTCTTTCTCTCTCAGAAATAAACATTAAAACTTTTTTTAAATAAACAAGCAAAAGTATCTTAAACAAAATAAAAAATATATGTGCCAAAGCACGTAACAGGTATTTGGTTTGGGGTTTTGTTTTGTTTTAACTTCAAATGTGTACGGGAAACAGTAATGAGCTTTAGGAGTCAGTGAGGCCATCCACTCCTGGACCCAGAATTCAGAGATCATCTCTCCATTCTCGACTGCTTCAAGTAGTGCAAACATGCCAAATCCAAATCACCCTTCACCCCAGCCACTGTTCATCCCTTTCCGGGGAGGGGGATTGGCAATGAGAACCTTAGAGAAACAGAGGCCGTGCCTAAGTGCAATGGAAATCCTTGAACCCCCACAGCACTGCGAGCACACCTAACCCCTGTCAAGTCAAGAATTTCCAACCACCTGACCAAGAATCACAGACTTCCAAGTAAGAGGGAAGTCAATTAGTACTTGCAATACAGGACTTCGAGATTTTTACCAAGGTTAAGGTGTTATCACAAAATACCATTAAAAAGGGATTTAATAGTGATCTCATAACAAAATTTAAAAAATCAAACTGAGGGCTGCGGGCGCTAGGTCACAGGCATTTTGCAACATTAAAAATCCTAGAGGCATTTTTAAACGCAGCTTATTAAATGGTTAGCAGGACGAACCATTACATTTCACCTTCTACAAAGCAGTTTCCTTATGAAATCATGTCAATCTGCTTCAAATCCTGAAGTCCGGAGAGGCATGCCCCAAAAACATCTTATGACCTCTAAGATGGCCCAGGTAAAACAGAGGCTCACTTATCAGGTACAAGATACACAGACGGTACGGCCTATTTCCTCTATGCTTTCTATTCATCGCTATAAATGACCCAAAAGCCCTCCCCATCCCCAAACCCTCCCAGCCTCGCGTTCCCAGGGACATGGAGACAAGTGAAGGGCAGTGACAGCTGGTCATGCCACACCCAACTTCAGGACTGACGCGACAGGGTCTGCAACCCCCACTCCACCCGTTTACACTTCACAGGAATCTTAAACCCCAAACTCTTCCCACCAAAAATGTCAGAAGTGACAGTCTCCAAAGCTAGGAAATCTTCAACATCCTGGCTTTCGGTTAGGGGAACAGAGATGGTTCCTTGGATTGGAGTTAGAAACTAGAGAATGCCCTGGTATTTTAGAAATGCCCATGAGGAACAATGAATTTCACAACTGTGGACGGACACAGTGGGTACTTTCCAGAAGACGCAGGGAACCGAGTCAACATGGAGCAAACCTGGTGGGACACTCCACAATGTCGATCTCCTATTCGAGAGACCAATGGCTTAACCTGAACTTGATCTAGCGCAATCAATACTAGCAATTGATTGTTAAGTCCCCAAGCCAGTACTTCCTGGGGGATCTTTAAAATTCCTTTGGGTGCCTGGGTGGCCCTGGAGCACTCTGTGGAAAGCTCATTTGGAGAGCGGCCTGTGCTCGGTAAGGCAGCGCCTCAGGAACAATGGCAGAGGAAGATAATCGCAGCACCAACCTGCTGGTCGCAGAGACTGCAAGTCTGGAAGAGCAGCTTCAAGGATGGGGAGAAGTGAGCTGATTGGCTGATGAAGTCCTCAGATGGGAAAGAGCCTGGTTCCCCGTGCCATCATGGGTGTGGTTTCGCTGGTGTTTCTGACTATCTACTATCTAGATCCATCCGTTCTACCTGGGGTTTCCTGTTCTGTTATGTTTCTGTGCCTGGCTGACTACCTTGTTCCCATTCTGGCTCCTAGAATTTTGGGCTCCAATCAATGGATCACTAAGCAACAGCAAAGATCCCATGAAATCCCTAGCAATCTAGTAAAAACTCGACGCAGAGCAGTGAGCTGGCAGAAACGCCTCTTTACGCTAAAGGAAGAAAAGCCTAAAATGTACTTCGTGACCATGATCGTTTCCCCTGCTGCGGTTGCCTGGGTGGGACGGCAAGTCCACAGCCTGCTGCTCACCTGCCTGATAGTGACTTTCTTACTGTTGCTTCCTAGATTAAACCAGCACGGAATTATTTTGAAGTACATTGGAATGGCCAAAAGGGAGATAAATAAGCTTCTCAAAAAAAATAAATAAAAATGAATAATGCATCTGCTTTATTCCGTGTAATGAATGGCACATATGTTGTCCTTGGGAACAGTTTCTGTTACGCGGTCTGGATTCTACAATGTTACAGAAGTAGCTCTTTGCTCTCCCGCCTTCTGCCCTTAGTAGATATTCAGACTTGCCAAGTAAGGCTTTATGCACAGGGTCCTGATGTGAAGTGTAGCTGGATACAATCTCATCAGTTGGCCTTATATGGGTAATTCCTTCGTGAGTAGGACTGGTTTTGATTTTTCTCACCCAGGTTAATTGAATTCTTGCTTTTAAGCAACTTCCTTTCAAAGTATATAGTGGTGAGTTTCACCTTTTAGTGCTTAACGGTGACTTTGGATGATTGTTCCAGTTGATCTCTGCTTTAGCTACATAAGAGGTAGTGGTCTGTGGCTACAGGGGGCTGGTTCTGCTGTCTGCTTCACCTGTCTGCTCCAGGAATAGACAGACCAACTTGACCACTTCTGATGCAGAGACCAATTAAGATTCATTCCTCGCACTGCCTTGTGCGAAACTTAGCAATTTGTAACAAACACTGATTCTTCCTCCCAAATGGGGAGTGAGACAGGCCTAGAGCTCTTCTCTTCTTGCTCTTAGACTTCGAGTTAGTAGATCCTCACAGGCTTTTTAACATCAGGCTTCTAAAAGTTTGTTTAGGATTTTTAGCATATTTTTAATTTCAGATTTTTCAGCTGAAACTAAAGTACATCACAGGTTCAGACTCAGGTCTATGACCTTCACTCCATCACCAGCCAACAAAGGACCAAAGTCTTTCTGTATGCAGTCAAGATTTCATTTCAATAGAAAATAAATCTTATCCTACTAATTTTTCAAGACCAGACTAAGCCTTTTGAAGGTAAGCCTCGAGATTCTCATTTGAAGGTAGCTGCTGGCTGCTTTGGTCCCCTTAGATGTGGATATGAAGTAGAGACTATGCCAGCATCTGACTTTTTTCCTAGATATTTCTGTGAAGAATGCAGAGGCTGTTGGGAGAGCAGACTATTTGCGACCATAGGTGGCCTCTGGTCTACAGGGATTTTGTAACTCCCTGGAAAGTGTCCTAGGATCATTCTCCCTTCTCAGTAGCTAGAAATTTAGAATAATTGAAAATTGTAAGAATGAGCCTCTAAGGGCCGGAAATGTGACACTGGGAACAGTTCTTAAACTCTGATTAACTAGCTGTAATAGTTTTGTGAATTTATTGCACTCATGCTGTAAAACCCGGACCTGTGGTATATCTGTCCCTAAATAAGTGTGGTTTTCTCCCCTTCAATATTACTGTAAACAATGGCACCCCCTGTAGCATAGTTTTGATTTTTTAATGTTTCACATGAAAACTACAAACTACCTTAATTTTTACAGGTGTTTCTCATTATAGATAAGCCTGTCTTGCTGTCTGTATTTTGTGTCTATGTGTTCTACCAATTAGCTACTTTCGCAGTTTTAATCTTGTATTATTTCTTCTACTTGGTTTTGTGTAAAATGGGAAAAATAAAAAAAGCTGGAATCCCAAATATTGTTTTTACCTCTTTCCACATAATGGTATGCCACATACCATTTCTTAACACTGAAAAAGAAAAAAAGATGTTTCAATTATTATTGGTGAGAGTCAAAGTAAAACCAGCTTTCCAAAATCTAAAAGGCTTCTTTTAAAATTCCACTATTACTTCCAACATATCACATCTTTAGACATAAAGGTATACCACACCACTCGGCAAAATGGACCCCAACTCCGGGTCCCATAGGTTAATGCGTACACGTAAATATAGATGTATGCATAGAAGTTAAATCTAGTCCTGTTTACACCAGCAGAAAAATATCACCCTGTTGTTACGAGATTTAAACACACACACACACACACACACACACACACACACACACACACACCACAGATCTCACGTTCTAGAACTCAATACAGTAAAAAAGAGAGAGAGGTAGGAAGCAATTATAAACCAAGGATGTGAATTCTTGGACTTTTTACAAACACAAAATATGTCTAGCTCCTGAAAACTACCACCATTTCTAAAATACACAAATTCTGTTCAAATCTTAATAGCCAGGACTCACATTTTGTTGGGCTGGTTTGTAATTTTGCTCTTTAAAATGTTTTATATAAGGGGCACCTGGGTGGCTCAGTGAGTTGAGGGTCAGACTTCGGCTCCGGTCAGGATCTCAGTTTGTGGGTTCAAGCCCTGCGTCAGGCTCTGTGCTGACAGCTAAGAGCCTGGAGCCTGCTTTCGATTCTGTGTCTCCCTGTCTCTCTACCCCTCCTCTGCTCATGCTGTCTCTCTCTCTCAAAAATAAACAAACAAAAAATAAAATGTTTTATAGATTGTTTCCCCTCAACTTATCTCAAGACCATTAGCTACCTATTTAAAATGCCTTAAATGCCGGTCTTAGGTTTTCCAGTGGAAAAAGTGATTCAGCCTAGTGTCTTACCTATTGTTTTCTTTTTGTTAACTGCATTGTCTGCCTTATGCCGCTTCTGTTAAAAGAAAGAAAAGAGTTCTTAGATTCAAAAGTTCCAAATGAATAATTGAAACCACAAACAATTGATCAGGAAAGAAACAGGACACAAGGAAACTGACTGGCAGCAACGCTAAAGCTGTAAAATTCAACTCAGCGGTTTGTGACCGGGCAGCGCTCACTCAATTCAGTGGACAAATGTAGCCAATGTGGGTGCGCTCTGCTCCTGTGTAAACCAGGACATTTTGGCTCCAGCAAGGAACGAGCACTCTGAAGTATGAACCTTCTCACTCCTGGTTTGTTTTGGGTTCGTCTAAAACATTATTCAGGATGATAAACCCAACATCTGAATTCATTTTATTGGTAGTCCCAGAAAAACGTACATGCATGTGTGAGTGTGTGTGTGTGTGTGTGTGTGTGTGTGTGTGTGAGAAAGAAAGTCACAGACACAGTGGGGGGGGAGGGGAGAGGGGGAGAGAGAAAGAGAAAGAGAGGAAGAGAAAAAGAAAAAGAGAGAGAGGGAGAGAAAGGGGTGGAGGGAGTGAGGACTGGAGAAGAGAAAGATGATGCAGACAAGACCACAGGTGGAGAGAGAAGGGGAGAAAGCACGAATACAGCTGTATTCCATGAACTTGGAAATGCACGGAGATTATGAGGAGGAGGAGGGAGAAAAGCCCTGCATTACCTCGGCCACAGCCAGCCCAATGCTGCAACAGTAGGCAGCACTGCAACCCTTTCACTACCCAAATTAACAAGCCCTAAAGAAGGACATAAGGAACATCAGTGATAAAAATCAAAGAGGGACCCCAGAGCTAACATCAGAAAATACAGTTCGAACGACTTTGGTGTCACTGCACAGGTATTTAAGACACCCTGTGTCCACGCCCCCTCCCCAAAAACATCATGGGCCTTGATAGGCTAGTTAAAACTATCGACCAGTTTCCTGTCTTCAACAAAAAACCCAAAGCAACAGGGAAGCCATGAGATAGGTAACTTACACGATGTTTTTACTACGTGAAAGCAAAAACTTACAAAATCTTCTACAATCTCTTTGATGCCTGCAATTGTTAAAATAATGATCAATGGCACCAGGGTGGTATATCTTCCGGTTGGAGATACATCTGGAATTTGCTGTAAGACAAGAGACCAAAAGAGGAAAGTTGACAAAATTAACATTTTCAGATGAAAATCCTCTCTAAAGTGCTGTTCTACTTGTTAAACAAAAATGATTACCTTATCTTAAAACCTATGTACATGTTTTACGTATTTTAAGAAATTTATCCGACATTGCTGTGTGTTTAAAGGGGATAAAAAGTATTACCCTAGGGCCATTTCTCAAGGTCTCTTTTAGTAACTGCCACTATCCTCACAGCAGTATCTAAGTAAATCTCCTTTTATGCAAAGATCACGTTTGTTCACCGAAACAATGATTGGATAAGGGGACAAATTACATTCAAGTATCATGACACTTTTTCAGTTAAGTGACCTTTTAGCAAAATTTCACTTTGCATGTAATGAGCATTATGAATTTTAAATAACTTTGTAAAAAACGTTACCTGTAATAAGGCAATGAAGAGGAAGAAGGCATTAGCAGCTCTTCTAATCTGCTCATACAAGAATCGAGGTAGAAACGTCAGCACACTGTACTTGGCCGTGCTGAAAGTACAAAGAAAGGTGCTACTGTTGGTTACAAATGTCAATTCTAAAGGGCAAGAAAGTGGAAGTTTCCAGAATTTTACAAGTGGTTTTAAAAATATTTCCAGCTTCAGGACAAGAAATTGCCGTGCTGGCCCTTTACAAAATTTTGTAAAAGGACACACCTGCCAAGAAGACCTTCTAACCTGAAAACAAAGGTTTTCAAATTTAGAAATATTTCCTATCCGCACAGTGTAAGCAGGGAAACTTGTCCACCTTCTGGGAGCTATAGTAAGCGCATCAAGAGTATTTATTAAAGGAATATTTCAAGGATCACGAGACAGAAAAAGGTTTCAAATACAGAAGACATGAACGCTGAAATAGCTAGAAATACCTAGAGTAATTCACACAAGCGAGGTAGAATCACTCCATGATTTGTGATGCATGATAGTTCTTCATATAAAGCCATTGACTCAAAGTAGCAAGGTAACTCCATAAAGTATGCCCTGGGTACCAGGCATCTCTCTGGATACCTACCACAGATGGGATTTTTTGTTTTGTTTTGTTTTTTGGTCAACCACACCTGAATAAACTCCATTCCTATCACCTCCTTTTTTTGGCAACCTCTAGCTCCTGCTTGTTTGGAAATTTTTTTCCAGTTTTATTAAGAAATCATTGACCTACATCACTGTATAACTCATGGTGCACAGGATGATATTCTGAGTTACAAAGATTTTGAAATGGTTATCAAAACAGGTTCAGCTAATAACCCTCTTCTCACATGGGCACAAGCAAACCTTGACTTTCACACATACCATACAGCAGTGACAGTGACTGTCATCATGTTGTACATTACATTCCTGGTGACTATCTCGTAACTGGAAGTCTGTACCTTACGGCCACCTCATCCGATTTCCTTCCTCCCACCTTCCAGGCACTTACAGGTTTCATCTCTTTCTAGGAGTTAGGGTTTTGTTTCTTTAGATTCCACATGTGAGATCATATAGTATGTCCTTTTTTCTGACTTATTTCACTTACTTCACATGCCTTCAAGGTCTATCCATATCTCAAACGGTAGGATTCCCTCGTTTTCTGTGGCTGAGTAATATTCCACTTTTATACCACAACCTCTTCATCCACCAACAGACACTTAGGATGTTTCCAGATCTTGGCTATTGTAAACAGTGCTGCTATGAACATGGAGGTGGGGGTATCTTTCTAGGTTAGCGTTTTCATTTCCCTTGCATGTATTCTCAAAAGTTGAACTGCTGGGTCACAGGGTAGTTCTATTTAATTTTTTGAGGAAACTCCATACTGCTTCCCATAGTGGCTGCACCAGTTTATATCTCCACATCCATGCCAGCATTTGTTACCTCTTTTTGATGATGGCTATCCAAACAGGTATAATGTGATAGGTCCTTATGGTTTTAGTTTCTCTTTCTCTAATGACTAGTGATGCTTAGTATCTTTTCATGTGCCTATTGGCTGTCCGTCTATCTTCTTCGGAATAATGTCTATTTAGGTCCTTTGCCCCATCGATATATATATATTATTTATATATTTTTATATATATTATATATTTATTTATATTATTTATATTATTTATTATTATATATTATATATTTATATATTTTATATTTTATATATTTAATATTTATATATTATATATACATAGAAGCTCGACAAATGCTGCGTTAAATCTGTAGATGCTCACATTTTTTCTCCACCTGGGATACCCTCTCTCATCCACATGGTCTCTCCAGAACTCAACTGCCCTTCCCACCTTACCCTCGCAAACATCTATCTTCCACTAAATTCGGTAAATCAGACTCTTCCTCCAAGCTCACAGGATGGTGTTAATACCTACACTATATGATCTCGGTTCTGCTTTGTATTGTATTTAATCTAACCCCAAAACAGATTCTGGGAACACTAAGAATGCTTACTTCATCTGTTCCCACCACATAGCAGATAAACAATGAACAATGAAACAATCCCAAGGCATAAACTGAGAAGCTGAAGAGGCAAAATGAACCCTATTTCTTTTTCTTTTAAATTTTTTTTAGTGTCTTTATTTTTTTATTTTGAGAGACAGAGACAGAGAGTGAGCAGGAGAGGGGCAGAGAGAGAGGGAGACACAGAATCTGAAGCAGGCTCCAGGGTCTGAGCTGTCAGCACAGAGCCTGACGCCCGACGCGGGGCTCGAACCCACGGACTGTCAGATAACACCCTGAGCCAAAGTTGGGCATTTAACTGACTGAGCCACCCAGGCGCCCCTGAACCCTATTTCTCTCGGCTACTCCAAGGCTTACCAATAAAAAGTACCTGCTTGACTCCTAGTTTGCCTTCTGAAGACCTAATTCTGAGCCCACACTTTTAATTTTTTTAAAATAATTCTTTACTTTCAACTTTAGTTAATATACAGTGCAATACTGGTTTCAGAAGTAGAAAATTCAGTGATTCATCATTTATGTAACACCCAGTGCTCATGGTAACAAGTGCCCTCCCTAATACCCATCACCCATCTAGCTCATCTCCTGCCCACCTGCCTCCATCAACCCTGTTTGTTCTGTGTCATGCAGAGTCTCTCTTCTCTTTATCCTCCCCCTTCCCATATGTTCATCTGCTTTGTTTCTTAAATTTCACGTAAGTCAAATATTTGTCTTTCTCTGATTGACTTATTTCACTTAGCATTAATACATTCTAGCTCTATCCACGTCATCGCAAATAGCAAGATTTCATTCTTTTTAATGGCTGAGTTATAGTCCATGGTGTGTGTGTGTGTGTGTGTGTGTACACCACATCTTTATTCATCAGTTGATGGACATTAAGGCTCTCTCCATAGTTTGGCTATTGTTGATAATGCTGCTATCACCATCAGGGTGCATATTCCCCTTTGAATCTGTATTTTTGTGTCCTTTGGGTAAATATTGAATAGTGCAACTGCTGGATCATAGGGTACTTCAATTTGAGCCAACTCAATCGAAATATACCGCAGCAAGATTTTCCAGCTGAACACCACAACACACAGATACACAACCAATTAGAAGCACCAAAACAGAAGAACAAAGATCTCAGACAGAACACTAGGGGCATGTGGACTGCTGTAAGCCCCCACAACCACCAATTCTGGAACAACAAAATAATAAAGTCAGACAACCCAACACACATAGCATCTTAAGGTCACTTGAGGACACAGGCAATGGCCCCACGTACCGTTTACTGCTACTGTCTCAGAGACCATCCCCGTGGCACGACAGCCTGGTGTTTCACAATACACGGTACAGTCATCCTCATACACACAATCATGGTTAGCTGCCTTCTGCTTGAAGCATTAAATACACACATGAATGACTATATGAAAGTCACTTCTAAGACCATTCAAACTTAAAGATTCTGACACTTGAAGGGATATCGCTGAACTAGCTAGCACATATGCTTGCATGGAACCCCCCACTCATTTATGTAGCCCTCTGGGGCATAAGAGGTCACTGTAAAATCTTGCCAGACAGAATAAACTTGCTGAAATCAAGCTCATTCAAGAATAAGGAAAATATATCAAATTCACGTACACGATAGCTCCTGGTGTAAAGTTCTCCGGACTAAAATTTACAGGACAAACTCAAACAGAACCTCATGCATTCCTTTACAGTATACTGACCACGGAAATAAAGCAAACAACGTGTATCCTAAAGAAAACAGGAAAATTCATTTACTTTAAGGCTAGAAAGCATCTTATAAAGCAGTTGGACTATAAGGCCCACATTCCATCTGTATGAAACAGACACACTCACACAGCTGGCACCTGACCCTGTCTGTGTGTGGACATTTCCCACTTCGGTAAAATACTAAGTGTGCTTAAGGGGACCCATGTGCCTCTGAAGTGCTATAAAGGTTTGGAGTAGAAAGAGATCCCATTTATGTGAGAAAAAAACAAAGATAAGATGCGGAAGGAAAGCATACTAACTTTTATTCTGGTCAACCTAGAAAAGGGAGCCTAAAACATTTTCAGACAGAAACAGAATGAGTATAATCAATAATTCAGAGGAACTGACATTCGTCCAGGAGATGGCTACTGTATCGCATTAAAAGAATTAACTTGACCACAGCCCTGATGTGTCCTCATACAGATTTAAATACAGAAAACTACGATGAGCTAAAGGCAGCGCCTCAAAACCCTTCTACCGGAAGAGTCTAGGGTAGTGCTTCCCAAACTTAAAGATGCATACGTATCAGCTGAGGATCTCATCACAACGGATTCATCAGGTTCTCCAGAGGAGCAGAATCAACAGACGTGTACAGAGACAGGGGGGGACAGATTCTAAGCAACTGGCTCACACAACTGTGGAGGTTTGAGAAGTCCAAGGTCTGCAGGGGGGGACCAGCAGACTGGAGACCCAGGGGAAGATCTAATGTCCTTTTTTTTTTTTTTTTTACATTTTTTTTAAGGTTGATTTTTTTTTTTTTTTTTTTTTTTTACAAATAGTTTATTGTCAAATTAGTTTCCACATAACACCCAGTGCTCATCCCCACGAGGACTAGAGAGGGAGACACAGAATCCGAAATAGGCTCCAGGCTCTGAGCTAGTTGTCAGCACAGAGCCCGATGCGGGGCTCAAACTCAAGATGTGAGATCAGGACCTGAGCCGAAGTCAGACACCCAACTGACTGAGCCACCCAGGTGCCCCTAGTGTCCTCTTTCAAGTCTGATGGCTGTCTGATGAGAGAATTCCTTTTTCTCCAGGAAAGTCAGACTTCGTTCTGTTCAGGCTTTCAGCCAACTGGAGGAGGCCACCCAAAGTAGAGGGTCATCTGTATTCAGAGTCTGCCAATTCTCAGTGTGAAGCTCCTTCAAAAACACCTTCACAGAAACATCTAACAATAATGCCTGACCAAACGCCTGGACACCATGGCCCAGTCAAGTTGCACATAAAATCAACCATGACATGCACATCTGATTCAGCAGGTCTAGAGTGGGCCTGGGGTTCTGCGTTTCCAACGAGTTCCCAGTGAGGTCAATGG